TCAGTGCCGACCTTGACTGTGTCTACTCCTGCTCTGGGACCCTCTGTTTAGGCAGAGTTGTTTAACTTCCATGGGCTTGTCTGTGAACCGGACTTGGTGTAGATGGTTCCTGGGTTTGTTGTGGATCTAAAGTGAAGTAATACAGCGCAATGCTCGGTCGGTGCCGTGCTTGGCACAGAGTCAGGACTCAATAAACAGCAGCTGTTATTATTACTACCTGAGTCTGTTTTGGGCCTGTGCCCAGGTACCTCTGCTGCAGCAAGACTCAACACATAGCAAATTAATGGAGACGCTGGTTTTAGGAGAGGCATCCTAGAGAGAATGTTGAAGTGAGTTATGGAAATCCAGCAAGGAGAACAATCGAAGCTTAACCCAGTCCGATTTCTCCCAATTTTTCAACACCCTGCGGACAGACTAGTCTTTAGCAGATTCTTCAGGTATTACAGAGCTTTTCCCAGAGGCAGGTGAAGAGTGAGTGAGTACAACTCTGAAAACCTGTGCTTGTCACCTGACCTTGAACGTAACAAACTGCCAGGGAGGAAGGGAGCTCCAATTACAGTCATGGAGTTGGAGGAACTCTTTCAAGGCAGATTGATTTATTGGGCCAGAAGTACAGCTCACCAGCCCACACACAGATTCCGGCTTTGGCAAACCGCCCTGCCTGCTCTTTGCTTTCTTGCCCTGACATATCGATCTGCGTGTGGGTGAGTCGGTGTAGTTGACTATAGAAGTGCGTGAGCTGCCGCTGTCCCAGGGTGGAAGCTCCCAGCTCGGGGGCCCTCTCTCTGGGAGCTCTTCGAACAGAAACTGAAAGGAACCTTCTCCCATATCTTTCTGTGGTGGCTTGAATTTCATTCCTCTGTTTCATGTGAGCCCAGAATGGCCCAGAGTGCCTCTCATTCTGCCTGAATGCTCTGAATGAAGTAACATGTCAGTTTGTAAGAAAGAAGCTAGTCTTTGCTGTGTGCCTCAGGCCAGGTGAAAACTCGCTACCCCCATTAGCCAAAAGCCACTGAGACGCAGACAAGTTACAGAACTTTCCCAAGGTCAAATGGTCACAGAGCCAGCATCCAAACCCCAGTGTGTCTGCCTGACAACCTCAGTAATGGCTGACTCTGGGCTTGGCCTTGCTGGGGGACAGGTGGCTGGCCATCATGGGAGAGGTGTCCAGCTCACAGGGTCATTTTAGATGGAAATACTTTGAAATCCAGGAGCACAGTTTGAATTGAACTCATCAGACCCGTTCCTCACATCTCCTCTGTGTAGAGGGTGTCCTCAGGCCCTGGGGGTGTGGCAGCGTCTGGGGGAGCTGGACCCAGACTCCTTCCATGGCTGGGGGTGGGGGGGAGGCCTGCAGGAGCCAATGGGCATCAAGGCTGTCTCACCAGTGGGGGAGGTGGGTCTGGCTCTGGTGTTTTTTCACTATGGACAACACTCTTTACCACTTTCTCTTAAGAGACCCACTGTTTCAGAAGATGTCTGCATGCCCAGCTACCAAGCCAATGTCCTTAGCTCCGTATCATTTAATTTATCTTTGCCATTTCTTTATTAGTCAAAGACACACCTCACCATAGAGCTGTTGATCTGACAACAAACATAACAGAGCTGACGTAAGTGCAGATAAATTTTTAAAAAGGTCAGAGTTGGGGCCACCTCTGTAGCTAGGGGTCCCTCCCTACTAGGGCACAGGGTTCCTGTTGGGCGGTTGGACACCCACAGTGCAGCGCCCCTCCCCTCTGTGGTGGCGACAGAGACCCTCCCCTCCACTGAGGAAATCTGAGACCCAAGCGCCTCGGAAATTCACTGACTTGGGATCAATACATTCAGGCACAAGTAATAAACAAATCATTTGGGCCAGGCCTAGACCATCATTTAAACAGAGTTTCAAAGTCCTACCCATTTACTTTGGGTTTGTTCTTAGGTTAAAATAGGGTTACCACATGAAAGCAGTTAAGAGACATTTTCCAAACTACCATCAGGGGGCAGAAAGACTTCAGACTACTGCTGACATTGGCGCACTCGTTTCTTTCCCATCTGTCTCTCTGTTCTCCATGTCTGTCCTTCTCTCTCATGAGCGTCTGTGTATATACGGTATGCACATTATACATCTATCTCTAATATAAAAAATATATACGTATGTATCTGTACCAGAAAGAAAGATACACATTTTTATCTATATAAACAAAATCGGGATGCCCACTGTCTTACTTTTCATCAGCCTTTTTTCCATGTTATTAGAAAAAGTGATTTCAAAATGTGATTTTTAAAAGAAATTGCCATTTGATAGTCCATCCCAAGCAGTACTACCAGGATTTAATTGAACTAATTCTCTATTTTGAGACATTTCAGCTGTTTTCGAATAATACTGGGTACATATGCTTGTATCCCTGGCCTTGGGGACAGCTCTGATATTTTCCTCAGGCTGAGTGACAAGCTGTTGAATAATCCGCCCAGTGGGGTGGCTTTTGGACGTTGTCCTTTGATTCTCATTACCAGATACAAGTCTACGCCACTGCCAACAGCAGATGAGAAGAGCTTTTCCTGCCCACACTGGTAATTTTCCGTTACAAATGATTTTTCTTAATTTTATAGGTAGAATATGAGAGTTTGGTTTTAATTGAATTTACTTGATTACTGGTGAGGTTAAGGTTTTGGGTTTTTTTTCCAGTTTGCTGTCCATTTGTTCTTCCTTATTTTGCTTTTCCCCCCCTGCATTTGGCTTCAGTGAATTACTTTGTGTTTTGCGTTCCTCCTTATTTTACATGTCTCCCCCTCCCCACAGAATGGCCCCCTGTGCTTGGGCAAGTCTCCGTCTTTGCTGCTTCCCTTCCTTGTCCACGGGGGTAACATCAATATCCCACAGAAGGACTCAGTGCTGTCAAATGCTTTACAAGCAGAATGTGCATCAGGAAAATGCACACTCACAGGCCTGCAGGCGGCTCAGCCAGCCACATTTGTCATCCCTCCAACTGGATGGCTGAAGGCCCCCCAGAACTGTAAACCTTGCACCTCACCCAGACTCCGGACACTGCCACCCGGGGCTGGCGGGCGACATCTAACGACTTCACCAGGTGAAGTTCACGTGCATGTCCGGTGCCTCAGAGGAAGGGACTCCCCACTGCTTTGGGGAAACGGACAAGTGTAAATCAGGTAACGATACGATGCTGACATATTTATCCCTGGAAGAGCGTTATGTTCTGGAGTCAGCCAGGGACCCGTTGCCTGATCCGTGGCCGATCCCCCTTTCTCAGCTGGTGGGCACCAGCTGAGGGCTCACAGGAGCCAAGGCGCCCCACAGGGCAAAAGCCCGACGTGACCCAGATGCATCTCCCAGAGACACAGGCAGGAAGCCCCCGAGCAGTGGGAGATTCCTCCTCTCGCCGCTGAAACTGCTCTCTGGCCTCTCCTCGGCTTTCTCCGAGTTCCTGCCCCTGTGGAGGGAATGTTTGCCTGCACAGCAGCTGCATCCTGCTGGACATGGCGGTGAGTCATTCAAGTGGGAGTAGACGTGGTGAAGGAGGAGCTTTCCAGCCTTGGCCTGGCGCTAATCGGCAATCAAGGCCAAGGCTGAACTCAACGTCCCAGCATAAATGATGGTACACCTTACAAGAGAATATTAGGCAGTTACTAAAAATAATCTTTTCAAAGAATTTTTCTAACACTGAACGATGCTCATGACATGAACTAAAATGAAAGAAATATATAAAACTCACGTATAGAATATGGAATGGGATCCCAATTGTATAAAAGACTAGCTGGAAATATTGTAAAATGGTAACTATGATTATTTCTTCAGATAAGATTATGTTTGAGCTTTATGTTCTTTCTCATTGTACTTTTAAAATTTCTTAAAGTCTTATGATTTTTATTTACCAGAAAACCCACAACTGCTAATATTTTGAAAGACTAAGTCTGAGATGGTCTGCCTCAGGCCTCTGGAGATTTTACAAATTTGCATTTGTTATTCATTTCTGTCCTCTTTATGCTAGAGTTAGAAAGGGGTCAGCCGTGAACCCCAGGGCAGGGAGGACGAGGCAGCTTCATGGAGAGTGAAGACACATCTCACTGCAGATGTCAGCCAGCTTCACACGCTCCGTTCACACGCTCCGTTCCCCCCGCACCCGCCTCCCTGCCGTCTGCAGGGCATGGAAATGACAGCAGCATCTTCACCAACAGTAGTGGCAGCAAGACCAGCACCATATACTGAACACTCACCATGTGCCAGGTGCTGGACTAAAAGCACGACCTGCCGTCTTACTTGATCTTTAAAATCACGGCCCGTTTACAGACGAGAAGCCTGAGTTCACGGAGGTTAAGTCCTGAGGTGGGTACATCTTAATCTCTATAAACTTGCCCGGGGAAAGGAGAGGGGCGGTGCCCCAGAGAAGCTCCCACCTCCTCTGCCCCGGGGCTCGCTGGACCTGCGGCCTCGGCCTGGGATTGGAGAAGCTGGCTGGGAGGGTGTGTTACCACAGACACATTTGTACGACTCTTTCTGACCCAGAGTGACAGCCCACTCTATAACAACACACGTCCATGTGGGGATACGTTAGTGACATGACAAGTACGTCTCACTCACTGGAAGTGAGAGTCAGAACGCTCCAGTCAGCAACGTGGGCCCCCAGCCGGCCCCCAGCTGCGCCTTTTACGCACCCTCGATGGCTGTTTGCCTGACTGCCAATTTGGACAGTTTGAGGCCAAGCATTGTTCAGGCCTGTGGTCCCTGTGACTCGGTGGGTCCCTGGGCAGCTGAGGTGCATCTGCCTGGACCGTGACAGCAGTAGATTGGGCCTCAGCAGGAGGCCTTCCCATCCAGTGCTGGTGGGGGCCCAGCAGTGAGATGCGGATGCTTGCTGGCCCAGTGGGCTGTATGGAGCTGGTGTTTTGAGAATACTCAGTGTTCTAGAAGAGTATATTCTGCCTATTGCACACAGACATGCAGTTCTACAATTCCACACTGCCTGTCCTATCAATGTTCTGGAGAGAGAACAATGCAAACGCTATAAAATATTTTTATTTTTTAGTTTAAAATTTTTAAAAAGATTATTTATTTTTAGAGGGGGGGTGAGAGAAAGGGAGAAACATCAATGTGTGGTTGCCTTTCAGGCGCCCCCTACTGGGGACCTGGCCCATAACCCAGGCCTGTGCCCTGACTGGGAATCTAACCGGGGGACCCTTTGGTTCACAGGCTGGCACTCAGTCCACTGAGCCATACCAGCCAGGTCTAAAACATTATTTTTAATAAAAACGAAAGTAATTCATTCATGAAGGCATGGCTACAAGGTTAATCAGTACCAAATGCAACTTGAATGTTTTTTCTAAAATAGTCGCTTTAGCCTTGAGGACTAGTCTCCCTCAGGCCACAGCCTGGGAAGAGGACCCAATGCGGACTTAAAAGCTCCAGGGTGGATTCTTCTTCCTGACTCAGGGTCACATGCTCTTGAGGTCCCCAAAGACGACATGGGCTGCATTGCGTCCAGCAGCTCCCATGACACCTCCTCCTGGAAGAGAATTTCCCGTGAACCAAAGCTGCCCTCCTCCCCCAGCGCCAGGGAGGGGGCGGGGCCAGGGCTCGCAGGGGACCCTCGGCCAAACAGAGTGGAGCTGCCTGAGGGAGGTGCTCGGGCCTCGAGCATCAGAACCACCCTGATGACAGTGGAGACAGATTCTGGGCCCCCTGCAGGTTTCTGGACTCCAAGCTCTGGGGAGGGGGTGGGCACGCAGGTGTCCCCTCTCAGTGTGAGAGCGGATGTACTAGGTGACAAGACTCTCAGCACGTGCAAGACTGAGGGCTGGAAGGGGAAGATGTGGAAAGAGAGCCTTTCTGGGAGGTCAAAACCCACACAGTGCAGGGAAAGCGTCAGAACGAAGTGGCCTCAGGAAAGCCTGGGAAATGTGCAGGGAAGACTTTGTGCGCTGAGAAACTTGACTAGATCCTTACTAGTCTAAACCATGGAGGGGGAATGTAGGAACCTGGGTCTTTCAGTCCTAAACCGGAACCTGGAGAGGTGTGCCTGGGACATACCCTCAAACCTCACAAGGCCGCGGGATGAGCTAGCTGACCTGCAGCCTGCGGCCAGCTGGGCAGAGGCCGCCGTGTTTCCCCAAGAATTCTGCAAATTCCAAATATGGGGATGGCTTGTTCTTGTGGGAGTCCCATGCCCCTGCCCTCTCTCCCTGCCGCCCTCACTATTTCTCCTGGTCCTTTTCTGCATGCCTCTGATGTCTGGCCAGCCCTCGCATCCACACAGGTAGGGGGACCGCGGTCACTCACCAGGATGGGCCCCGCTTCCGCAGAGGTACAGGCCGCGGAGAGGGCAGCGGTAGTTGGCATGCAGGGGCAGGGGGCGGGCGAAGTAGAGCTGGTCCAGCGTCATGGCGCCGTGGAATATGTTCTGCGGAGGCAGGGCCACAGTCGTGAACTGAGGGGTGCTGGGGTCTTCGCTGCCTTTGCAGGCCTCTCCCCCTCCCCAGTTCTCTGAGAAAGGGTCTCCTTCATGCTGTTTCCTTGGTTCTTAGGATGCAGGAAGAGGAGGGGCAGGAAATGGGCACGTGTCCTAGGGCCGGGGCATCTTGTCAGGCAGAAAAAAGGGTGGGGACCGGTTTCAGAGCGAGAGGAAACTGAGTGGGGTATTTTAGAAGGAGATTCTCAAAGTTGTGCTGTGGACTGGGACCCCCACTCACTGTTTGGACATAGAGGAATTTGACGTATTTGGCTGCTGGCACGTGTTTCTTTGACCAAGACACACATCTGAGCCTGGGCCCCAGGGCCACGCTCCAGCCAAGCACAGTAAGTGGCAGACAAAGGGCAGGGGGATCAGAGCTCGGCCTGGGTCAGATCTGCCAAGCGGAGGGTCAGCCTCGTGCGGCTGGTCTGGACCGGCAGGACAACCTCTGCAGGATGCCGCCACTGGATGTCCTTGCAACCAACGCTCTCAACGTGCCCCAAACTGAGCTCATTCTTGCCCACAAGTCTGCTTTCTCCCATCTTCCCTGCCTCAGTGGGTGACATTCTCCTTGGCCTCCAGGCTGGATCCTTTACGTCGCCTGCCCCTGACCTCTCCGTGCATACTGTCGCCAAGATTTCTAACTCCTGCCTCCCCATGCCTTCTTCCACACCCGTCATTCCTTCCCTTCCCACTGCCTGGCCTCCTTTATTCTACAGCTGGACCACTGCGGCCCAGTAAAAACATAACGTGATCCACAGATATGGGTTTTATTTTCCAGTAGCCACATTAAGACTTTAGAAAGGGACTGGTGAAATAGGTGTCAATATATATTTCCGTTAACCCAGGAGATCCGAAATATTGCCATTTTAGTATGGGATAGGTATAAAAATTATTAATGAGACTCTTTACACTTTTCTCACACTAAGTATTTGCGGTTGGGTGTGCCCTTTACACCGGCAGCCCAACTGTTTTGGCCCAGACACACCGACGCCAACGACAGCCCCAGAAGGCTGGTGGCTGCTGTGCTGGAACTGGGCTCCTAGCTGGTCTCCTGGCCCCCAGTCTCAGTAGGCTTTGAGGCATCGACCTGAAGTCCAAGGACATGCTGTCTTAAGGGATGGAGCTCCCTCCAAAGTAATTCAAACAGGATAGGCTGACATGGACATCCAGTTGTAAGGGCCACCATCCTGGTGACCTCAGCAGGTGCCATCTCACCTCTCTGCATCTCTCTACTCTTCCCTTGCTCCCTGGACCTGCCCCCTCCTCTATCACCATGGTCTCTGTCACTGTCCTCCCTTCTGATGAAGGCTGTGTGTGCAGCAGGGCTGCAGAGAGAAGAATGTGATAAGGGACCTCCGCCAAGGCATATTCTTACCCCTCCAGGAAGCCCAAAGATTCTCTCCAGATCAGGTGGCGTGAGGACGTCTCTGCCCACCACGGAGCCCTTGAAGCCAGGGGCGTAGGCCTCGACACAGTCGAACACTGGCGCCGGACAGCGGGCACAGGATGGTGTTGGGAGGAGGAGGGGGAGGAGGAGTTATGGTTCACAACTTGGTAAACTGACTAGACATCATTAAGCTATACACTTTAAATGGGTCTAGTTTAGCATATGCAAATTATATCTCAGTAAGCAAAACAAACACAGTCCATAGGCAAATAAATAATTCAGCACAAAGGCCTCCAGTCTTTCTCACCTCCTTACCCCAACCCTGAACACAAAGGTGTTTGTCTCCCTTTGACTCTGCCACGCTTTCTTCACCTCACTGCTCTGCGCAGGCGGTTTCTTTTGCTTAGAATGCGCTTTGCCGCTGCACTCACTCCTATTCATCCTTTAAGGCCCAGCTCAAATGTGCCCCCTCTGGGAAGCTCTCTTTGTCTCTCTGGCTCACCACTTCCTCCTCGGGTTCACGTGGTCCCTGGTACTGTAAGGTGTCTCTTCATTACTCAGCCTGTGAGCAACCTGAGGGCAGCAACTGCCTTTTGGACTTTCTTAGCCCAGTGCCTGACCCTAGAAGGCACTCACTTTGTAGACTTAGGTTCCCTTGGAGACTTCTCTCCACCCTGGGATAGAACCTGAAGGTGTCAGTCCCGAATGGGGTAGTCAGAAGGAGAGGGGTCCACTCAGACCACAAAGCCAGCTGGCACTCGAGACAGGACAGGCTGGTCCCCTTTACCTTTGTCTGCATAAGCATTTCTCTCCTGCTCGTCCCAGACTTTGCCTCCAGCCAGGGTGTAGGGCGTGTACTGAGTGAAGAGGGAGAGGACGTGGCAGCTGGGGGGAGCCAGGGTGGGGTCCAGCGAGGACGGTATGCAGAGCTCAATCATCGGCCTGAGAAGGGAGGAGAGATGGGCGGATCGGAAGGGGCAGCTACCCCAACAAAGGGGCTGGGGGCCGCTCTGAGGCAACGGGGGACAAAATGAAGGCGCGGGACCAGATGACACCATGGCCAGGCCCATTGTCGCTGTAAGGCCATGGTGGCTGGTCACCATCACGGTGTCAGTGGCCACTAGGAGAGTCTGGACTACCCCTGAGGAGCCCGCCCAGCCCCGAAGGTGCGGACTGTCCCTGCCTTCCTCCTCCTCACAGCCTGTAGAACAATCAGGGTCTCAAACGTCCCCAGGGTCCAGACAGACAACATGAACGAGTGAGGAACCAGGCGAAGACAGCAGGTGCCCCGGCAGCCAGATTTCGACCAAGCTCACCCCTGCCTGGTGGTGACCTTTCCCGAGAAGGCCAAGCGGAGCCGAGCAGCCTGACACCCAGAAGAAGGGGCGCCTGCTTCCTGCCCCTCCCTGTTCACAAACCTGTTCCGCCCGAAGCACAGTCTTTTTCTGGCCTCCAGCTATGACTGTCCTCCAGGTGGCCACATGAAATGCCCCTTCTCCCTGCACCCCGCTCACTTGCGGTGTTCCCTCTGAACTTGGACGTCCACCAGATATCTCCAGAGGAACTTGTCGAAGCCCGAGGGCCTGGTGTCCTGCGCCTCCCTGAACACATCGCCTTCCCGTTCTCACCAAAGAGAAACACCACCTTCCTGTGGCTCCTCTTTCTCCCTCACACCCTACTTCCTATTCAACAGCAAATCCTGGCAGCTCTACTTTCAAATACCCAGTATGTGGCCACTTCTCACCACGTCCACTTCCCCTGCCGGGGTCCAGGCCACCATCCTTTCTCCCTTGGATTCTATAATAGTGACAAGTTGCAACAGATGCCCTTTTTCTCCACACAGTGGCCACAGTGGTCCTTCTGAAATGTAAGTCAGGCTTTGCACAAACTTCCCTGGAATAAAATCCAAGAGTGGCTGACATGGCCCAGCAGATGCAGCAGCTGCGGCTCAGCCCCCACCTCCTACCCTTCACTCCCAGGTTCTCTTTCTCCAGCCACTCTGGCCTCATCCCTGTGCCTCCAACAAAGTGCCACCCTCCTGCCCCAGGGCCTTTGCACCTGACTTTCCCTCTGCCTGGCTGTTCTTCCTTAGATATCCACCTGCAGACTCATTTCCTTCAGGTCTCCGCTCAATGTCATGTTATCGGAGAAGCCCTTTCTGACCTCTTAATAAAGACTAACACCCTCTCCCATCCCCTGACCTACTTTTCTCCATATCGTCCGTGCATGTTTGTTGCCTGTCTTGTCTCCCACGACAAAATGTCAGTGACCTGAGGGCAGAGGCCTTGCTGACTCTTCTTGCTCCTTTGTGCTCGGGTCCCCAGACTAAGCCTGGCACAGAGTTGGAGCCCCTAAATACATATGGTGAGCGGACTTTGGCCTCTCCCCTTCTCTCAGGGCACACAACCTCCTTACCTCATGCTACAGGTAGCTGTGGGCCTGCCTTATGACTCCATGTCTGTGCCACGCCCCTGCCTGGTCCCCCACCCACCCAACCAGGCCCATACAGCGCCTGGCGCAGAATAGGTTGTCAACAAGTTTTGGTGAACAGTTGGCAGTAGGGAAGGATGCTTGCTCATGCAGCGTCCCTGCCTGTTCCTAGAAGGATGGAGACACAGCTGGGGTGTGGGGGGAGGTGGGAAGTGCTTTTACAAGGTTTGGACCAAGGCAGATTGTCAGAGGTAAGAGAAGCTGTAGAATCGGCTGAGTGTGTGCCTTTGGGTGGGCTGCTGAACTAGAAAACTGCCTTCTTCCTTCCAGAAAGCATTCTCTCCAATTCTTCTCAAACGCCGGCACTGGCCCCTCTGTGGTCCTTTGTTCCTTCTGCTAACCTGGGACCCTTGGCCGAACGTGTTGACTCTTCACCTTTTACCTGCCTGAGCCCACAGCTTTCTGGCCTGGGATACATTTCCTAGCCTTGGAATCCACATATAGATTTAGGCAGATCCTATGTCATTGTGAGTATTTAACACCAGGTAGAAGAGCCAGTCCCTTCTGGACACTCCCCCCACCTCACCAGGACCCTGTGTGAGAACACCCCAAGGGACACGAAGCCGGGGACCGCCCACCTGTGGGAGGGCCGGCCATCCACTGCATCCTCAAAGGCCTGATGGAGCAGGTGGGTGTTTTCACAGTTCAGGTGGATGGAGCACTGGTGATGGGGCAGCGGCTGGCCCCCGGGAGCACTGGGGGCTGCCAGGAAGTCAGGCAGCCTGTTGACAGCCACTGAGAAACCAAAGTGGGGGAGGGGTCAGGGCCCGAAGGCCTGGGTCCTCAGCACCCCCGGAATCCTCCTGTACTCATCACCCAGTGTTAGACTAGGAAGAAAAAGTATGAACAAGTGTAGAGGTCGGGGATGGAAATGATGATGTAGGTCAGTTTTCCCCAGAACCCAGACATGGCTTGCACGGATCATGTCAAAGAGGCGGCTCCACAGTGGGGTGGGCCTCTTACCGTTGATCTTGGTAACAGGTGACTGGGTGTCCAGCTGAGAGATTCTCTCCACGAACTCTTTAGGAAGCCACTCCTGGAAGAAGTTTCCATAACAGGCCTTGGGATGGCTGAGGCCCCCAAGCAGCTGCCTTCTTCCTTTGCTCAGACTGGTCTCCTGCCCCCTGTCTACTTCCAGAAGTCCTCTCCACCCTTCAGAGATCAGCCAGACCACCCTCTCCGATAAGCCCCCTCTCCTAACCACTCCTCCTTCTGTGACCTGCCAGCGTCCTGGCTGCGAGTGGCCCACACTAACTCCTGCTTCGGACATGGCTGGTGGTCTGCAGGCCTCTTTCTCCTCTGGTCCGTAAGCTCCTGGAAAACTTGATGATCTCAGAAGTGCCTTAATAAGATGCTTTTCTAAGATGGAGGTTTAGGTGGATGTGCCGTGCCTCCTCACACAACCAAGTTTAGGGACAACTAAATATTAGCATCAGAAAACACAACCAGAACACGGAAAACTGAACTTTTCGGAAGTCCGCTAACAACAAATTCTTCAGTCCGACCGGTAAGGGGCGAAACCGGTGTCTGGTGAAGAGTTACAAAGGAGGGCTCGGTCAGACCCGGGCGTGGAATCCAGACGCGCGAATCCAGACGCGTGAATCCAGACGCACGGGTTCCAAACCCAGGATTGGACCTAGTGAGCGACCGAGCAACCCACCGGGTGAGCGACTGCAGAGGAGACAGTGGGGAGGCGGTGCGGCGTGTTGACTGCGGTTGCCTAATTGCGCGCGAGCGAGGGAGTGGGCGGTTGGACCGGCGGCGGCGATAGACGGCGGCCAAGGCGATAGAGGGCGCCGCCATTTCCCCGCTCTGACCACGCCCCCACATACAGCGTCACAACCAAGCGACCTGGGACTCCAAGGCCCCGCTTCTCCCACTTAAAGGGCCAGAACAGACCAAAAATGTCGCAGGAAGAACTCAAAGCCCCACAGATAAATCTAAGCGACGAAGAAATAGCAAAACTCTCAGACGCACAGTTTAAAACACTGGTCATCAGCTTCCTCACAGATCTGGTTGATTATAGCCACAAATTAGAGAAACATATGAAGGCTAAATTAAGGGAAATGAATGGAATTCCACAGGAAACCCATAGAGATGAAAAGGAAACTGGGACTCAAATCAATGGAGTGGACCAGAAGAAACCAAATAATGGCCAAACAGAAAAGAGTCAAGGAGCAAGAATTCAAAGAAATGAGGAGAGTCTTAGGAACCTCCAGGACATCTTTAAACGCTCCAATATCCGAATTATAGGGGTACCAGAAGGGGGGAAAGACACAACCACCAGTGGAAAAACTATTTGAACAAATAATAAAAAGAAAATTTCCCCAATCTGGCAAAGGAAATAGACTTCCAAGAAATCCAAGAAGCCCAGAGAGTACCAAAAAAGTTGGACTCAAGAAGAAACACACCAAGGCATATCATAATTACATTAGCCAAAATTAAAATGAAGGAGAGAATCCTAGAAGCAGCAAGAGCTAAGGGGACAATCACCTACAAAGGAGTCCCCATCAGACTGTCAGCAGATTTCTCAAAAGAGACCTTACAGGCAAGAAGGGGCTGGAAAGAAATATTCCAAGTCATGAAATCCAAAGACCTACAACCAAGATTGCTCTATCCAGCAAAACTTTCATTTAGAATGGAAGGACAGATAAGGTGCTTCTCAGATAAGACCAAATTCAAGGAGTTCATCACCAAGCCCTTATTATATGAAATGTTAAAGGGACTTATCGAAGAAAAAGAAGTTAAAGAAACATGAACAGTGAAAGGACAACAAACTCACAGTTATTAACAACCACACCTAAAACGAAAGCAAACTAAAAGGACAGCTAGATCAGGAGTGGAAACATAGAAATGAAGATCTCAAGGAGGGTTAGCAACAGGGGAGTGGGAGGAGGAGATGGGGGGGAGAAGGTACAGAAAACAAGTAGCATAGACAGTAGATAGAAAATAGATGGGGGGGCAAGAATAGCATGGGAAATATAGAACCTAAAGGACTTGAGACACATGGACATAAACTAAAGGGGGTAATGGTGGGGTTGGGGGGGCAGGGTGGAGGGGAATGAAGGGGGGAATAGAACAACTGTAACAGCATAATCAATTTAAAAAAATAAATAAATTTAAAAAAAAGATGCTTTTCTGACTAATGTTTGTTGGATTTTATGAGCAGAATCACTCAGAAGAAGTGGTATCTGCCCCCAGGAGCAGTCCCAGGAATGGTTGGGAGCTCTGTGCCCATACATGTATTGTCATCAATTCTAGGGACAGGGGAGTTGCAAAAATTACTCCAAACCCTCCATCCTCTGAGTATGCACGCCCCTTTGTAATGTCCTCCTGTTCTGACTCCGGGGCTGCCCACGGTTGAGTTTGCTTGCTTTTGCCTTCTGTCAGGGGCTGGGAATATGCTAGAGAATGAAGGACAGGTGGAGCAGAGCCAGCTCACCCCTGTCGCTCCGGCAGAAACCATGCTGCCCCAGCTGCAGCCACTGCCCCCTGGCATGTCCGTAGGCCCAGCCGAGGTCAGCAGGGCCCACTGGTTGACTCGGAGCTGATGGCAGATGTATGAGCAAAGCCCAAATCCACTGAACTCAACCAAGATCAACTGAATTCTCCAGCTCTTTGCGCTAAATCAGTATTTCTTGTCACATGCCCAGAAGTCGTGTGGTGGTTTATTATGTGGCATTCAAATGGAAATGGATAACTGCCCCAGACAGTGGGATTAGGGTTGGCCAGGAAGGAGAATTCAGTATAGCAGGAAAGTTGTATAAATAACTGATTGACAGTCAGACCTGGGGTCCAGCTCTCGCTCTGTCCCTTGCCACCTGCATGGCCTAGGGCACCTGGCCTCTCCGGACTCCTCTCCTCACCTGTGCGGCTTCTTTCCTGTTGGCTCCCTGCCTGCTAGGTGAGACAGAGAAGGACTAGCTTCCCCCGGGGTGAACAGACTTGGCACCTGCACCCCGACCCCGGTGCAGTCCTGGCTCCCTTGATCACCCCAATCTTCAGCCCCTGTGGCGTCAGACGCCTTAACCTCCACCCCCAGGCCTCACCTGTGGTGTCAGCTGCAGGAAGGTGATCTGCGGCGAAGCACTGGACAGCACCACCTTGCTCCTCACCTCTGAGCCGTCTTGCAGTACAACTCCTTGAATGCCTCCTCCACTGCTCACCTGCACCTTCGCCACCGGCTGGACACCACGGGGACCAGGCCCCAGGAGTCCCCGGGAAGGAAAACTAGGTTAGATCTTGAAGGATTTCCATCCTCTCTGCTGCTCCTAGACATTCACAGCCTCCCCGTCCCGAGTCCACCCTGCCCGGCTCTGCAGCTCCTCAGCGAAGCCTTCCTCAGCCCAGCCCCTCCAACTGGAAAGCTCAGTCTCGGTGTGGGTTGGCGGTGGGCAATTCGAAGGGGCAGCAGAAGAGGTGGGATCCAGTTGACAGCTGCTCAGCTACTAACAAGCTGTATAACCTGAGCCCCACCTCGTCCGTTGGTAAAAAGAGGGAACTTCCAAATCTGAGATTTTGTTCTATCTTAGGACTCCAGCCAATATCAGAGTAGGGAGTATAGGGGCCATTCACCTTTTCGGTGAAGATACTTGCTCCATGTGCAGCGGCCGAGCTGGCAATGGCATCAGAGAGGGCACCCATGCCACCCTGGACGTAGCCCCAGGCCCCCTGCATCCCCTCCAGGCCCCCCATCATGTGATGCAGCAGCACATACCTGAGGGCAGATCATCAGGATCAGTGGCTGGAGTTGGGATTTAATCTCCCCAGAGTTCAAGGTGCAAGTATTTCCTCCTGTCTTGTACCTTCAACCTCTCCATTTCCCACCCAACCCTGTCCTTCCGATGGGCTCTAGGCTCCTGTCAAGAGTCCTTTGCTTCCCCATCTCACATTCTCTCCCCATGAAAACGTGTCTGCAAGCAGCTTTGGTAACAGTGAGGTGACGCTGCCCAAACCCAAGCCCCAGCTCCCTCCTGGGCTCCAGCCTGTCCGTCCACAGATATCTCCATTTGGATGGTTTCTTGGCAGGCATCTCAAACCCGCTTCTTTCCCACATTCTCCAGCCTATTCCTCTTTCAATCTTCCCCATCCCAGTGAATGGCATCTTCAGCTTCCCAAAGAAACCTGGTGTCAATCTCGCCTCCTGCTACTCTCTCCCCGCCCACATCCAATCACAGGCTGTCAACTCTGCCTCTTCAAGAGCTTTCCCGGGCCCCTGCTTCCTGCTGCTGCTTCCTGGTCCAGGCCACTCTCTTCTCTTCCATCGACCGTGGCAGGAAGTTCTTCCTGATCAGACCACCTTCTCCTATTCTTCCTTCCCTGCAGACCTCTCTCCACACAGAACTCAGAGCCTGAGCTCAACACCCAGTGATGTTCCCGTCTCTCCCCTCCTTTCAAGCCTTTGCTGGCTCATTGTTGCTCTTAGGGTCATGGCCGGGCCCTGAAAACAGTCTCCCAGGCTCCTGCCTGCAGGTCGGCCTCGTCCCTCAGGCTGCTCCCGCTGCACCCCTACCAAACCGCACCTCTTCCAGGTTCTTGAATAGACCACATGGTTTCTCAACTCCCAACCTTTGCACGTACTGATCTTGCAGCCTAGAGCCCCCTCCCTCCCTCATCTTTCACTTAACGAAAGCCTCCTCTCCTCAGAGTCTCAGATTAAGCACCTCTTTCTCGTGGCGGGCCTGACTCCGGAGCACGAGGCTCCCCTGCTCCCTTTCCTATCACAGAGCTCTCGGCCCTTCGCTATCACCACTGGCTCTGCGTCTGCCTCTCCTGCAGGGTTTCGGCTCCAATTACCGCTGTAGCCCCAGCACCGAGCATAGGCAAGTGCTCCATCAATATTTATTGAAAGAATTAATGAAGAAACAAATTACTTCAAGGCACATTTTACAACCTGGGTGGTAGCTAATCCTCCTGGAGACCCACAGAAAAAGAATAGGAGGCCCCAGCTGAAAGATCCAAATTGGCTGTTTGATCACAGAGCTTGGCCAAGGTGTGGCGGCTGCTGCCAATCCCCCTTTTCCACGGCCCCGGGGAACCTGGGACTGGCCTAATGCACACTGAAAATCACTTCCAAAGGGTGCTCTCCTCCCTTGAGAGAAAAGCCACACTGACAGCTTCTATCTGCATCTTCTGGCACACTGGATATGGCCCAACACCTGGCAGCATCCTCCATCCACACACACGCCCTCCCTTCCTGCTCCTACGGGGCCCGTTGAGTCCTGCACAACTAGCAACCCCACAGCGTCTGCCTGCCTCCTCTCGGGCCAGGCTGCCAACACACCCCACTCACAGAGCGACAGCAGCTTCCTGACCTCGCAAAGGTGCCTGTGTGAGAGCGTGTCCTGGGACAGAGGGAAAGGACCAGTGGGAGATGGAGGGGCCACCGGATCAGCTCTGCTGCTCCCTAGCTGCGTGACGGTGGGCAACATATTCCCCTTCTTGAGCCACGGCTCTCAGATGTTGTTAACACCACAACTTAGACGGACTGTGTATGAAGTGCGTGGCCTCGTGCCTGGTTCACGGGGGGAGCTCAGGGAAGGATGGCTGTTATCGTTCCTCCGGGGAGCCCGCCCCTCACCTGCGGCCCCGCCTCGCCTCCTGCACTCACCCACTCCCCGGAGTGTGGGGACTTGTCATGGCCCCGATGACAGCGTTTGTTGCTAGACTGGCTTTCAGAGGCTCGGACTCAAACCACTGGTTCAGCACCTGGGGCAGCAAAACGGCAGGGAGAAGGGAGGGCTCAGGGGCCTCAGGAGGAGAGAACGCCTCACTGCGAGGCCCAGCCTGAGGTCAGGGAGCCCCTCACCTTGGTCATTGGAGCTGTGAGCACCTGGTAGTACTGGGGCAGCCGGGCTCCCAGGATGCGGCCTGGAAGAGGAAACCCATGAAACCAAACTGAGACAGGCAAGAAGGACGCGCTCTGATCTGCAATATCACCTGCTCCTTGGCCTGTGAAGTGGGAGTAACGTTATCACACACCTGAGACTGACTGTGAGGATTCAACAAAGGTGGAAAACGTTTGCAAGTTCACAGGCACTTAATACATTTTAGCTGCTGGAATTATTCTGGGAAACTTTTATTTAATATATTTTATGGACTATGCTATTACAGTTGTCCCATTTTTTCCTCCTCTTTATTCCCCTTTGCCTTGCACCTCCTCTCCCATCAGCATTCCCCGCCCCCCCCCCCACCGTAGTTCATGTCCATGGGTTGCACATATAAGTTCTTTGGCAGTTCCATTTCCTATACTATTCTTGACCTCCCCCTGTCTATTTTGTACCTACCATTTATGCTACTTCTCTGTACCTTTTCTCCCATTCCTGCCCTCCCCTCCCACTGATAACCCTCCATGTGATGTCTATTTCTATGATTCTGTTCCTGTTCTAGTTGTTTGCTTAGTTTTTGTTTTTTAGGTTCAGTTGTTGATAGTTATGAGTTTGTTGTCATTTTACTGTTCATACTTTTGATCATCTTCTTTTTCTTAGATAAGTTCCTTTAACATTTCACTTAATAAGGGCTTGGTGATGATGAACTCTTTTAACTTGACCTTATCTGAGAAGCACTTTATCTGCCCTTCCATTCTAAATGAAAGCTTTGCTGGGTAGAGTAAACTTGGATGTAGGTCCTTGCCTTTCATGACTTCAAATACTTCTTTCCAGCTCATTCTTCCCTGTAAGGTTTCTTTTGAGAAATTAGCTCATAGTTTTATGGGAACTCCTCTGTAACTTGTACCTTATTCCCCTGTGTTGACCTCTATAAGGCCTGTGCCCTGGGAGGTGGCCGGCTTGGCTAGTTCACTCCACAGAGTCTGATTCAGAGTATCTTGGAGAGTGACTGGGTAGTAAGGCAGTGAGGGCAGGGATCTTAATGTCCAGCTATCGTAGCCCCTGTGCCTAACTTAGTCTGGCACAAAGTAGTTGCTCAATAAATGTTCATTACATGAACATTTCAGCACAAACCTCTTTGGATGGTAATCTGAGAGACAGTGTCTACTTTTGGCGTGTGTAATAGATATTACTGGCTCCAATCCTTCTTCCCTCCCACATCCACACACTTGGCCCTGTAACTCTGCAGTGCCTCCCATCCCAGCTGGGTTGCTCCTGCCTGACTCCTTGATTCTAGACTCATCCACAAGATTTGCTTGGCCAATGAGATGTTTGAAGATGTGATGCAAACAGCGGCTTGAAATTGGCCCGGACACCAGGGCTTCCATCTGCACTTCCACCACTGCTGCCAGAGGCCGTGCTGGACCAGCCTGCAGCTTCCAAGAGGAGGCTGAGAGGCACTAGAGCGGAGCTCCGCCCCAGCCACAAACATATACATGGAACCAGACCTGATCAGCTGAGCCCAGATGGATCAACTAAACCATGCTGATGGTGAGATTGGTGAGAAGCACATTTTTATTTTTAATGTTATTGGAGTTTTACAGTTTTATGCAGCAATTTTGCAATCATAGCTAGCTATTTCAGTATTTTTCCAAAACACAGAAGCCAAACTGGTCTTTATAACCTAGAGTAGTAGAAAAGAGTAGCATGCTTAGCCAAGCTTCCCTTCACATGGCCCAAGTCTAGCATCCTCTTCGTATGGGGCATCTCCTCAAACCCTCTTGGCCCCTGCCTCTTATCCCAGCTGGCTGCGGTGACAGGCCCCACGCAGCCTTCCTTCAGCTTCGCTCGGTGCAGCCACAGCACCCCATCTCATGCCTGTAAGATGGGCCTCATCGTTTCTGCCTCAGGGCCCCTCTGGCACCATGACTGGACGCCCACAAACAACCACTTGGCACCCATGGGTGGGGAGCCGGATGTGGGAATTAATAGCTGGTGGGGCATCTTTGATCAATGGGGTACAGAGCCCTGTGGAGAAATGCTTCTCCTTTCCTCTCTTGGGAAGGGTCTCATGTGGACTGCACGAGACTTCTGGAGGGTCCCCAGAAGTCACCCTGCACTTGTCACCCACATGGCATCCACAAGCAGCACACTCTGGTATCGACACCCCCTCTTTTCAGTTTCATTCCTCCGTTCTCTGGGTCACCTTTCAGAATGAACGACTCACATGCACACCCTTGTGTCGGGCCCTAGTTTTAGGGCACGCCAAGCTAAGCCCTCCTCACAGATGTGCTCCAGGCCATCCCTACAAACAGACGGCGGCAGGCAGGCTGCTGTGGAGGCTCAGGTGTATGGAGGATCCTGGAGAAAAGGGGCTCCACTCCCTAAAGGTCACGCGTCCTGCCCTCATGCCAGCCCTTTGGACTTACCTGCCTGCAGCAGGGGTGTGAGGGTGGTCAGTGACTTGAGCCTCTGCAGCAGGGAGCCCTGCCAGAAGGCCTCCATGTCCACAGGGGCTGCGTCCAGCAGAGGGTCAATGGCTAATGCCAAGCGATTGATGAAGTCCTCATACTGGGGAAAAGCCTAGAACAAAGCCCCAAGTCAAGGCCCCACTGCCTGGAAGGGACGCGGCCCCCCGTGCCTGGCCCTCCATGGTCCCCCCCTGCAGCCTGCTGCCCCCCGGCTGAGCTTCTGCGGTTCCTCAGGCCTGACGCCGGGCCTCCTGAGCATGGCTGAGTTGATCCCTGTTCTGGGTCTGTGTGCTGCTGTTGACACCAGGGGAGTTCACACAGAGCCTGGGCAGTGGGGGAGCCCAGGGGTGGTGGCAGGAGCAGGGGGCTCATGCTGGCCGAGACCAGTCGTCAGCCACAGAAAACTGGCAAGTGCCTAGGGTGTGGTCTCTGTGACAAACCAAAAACCACTGAAACGTTTCTCCTTCTCTCCTGTCCGTCCACATGTTGCTGCTAGAAGTGAGCTCTCTTTCCCCGAATCCCGGCATGCGAACTGCGCTTTCCTGGTCTGCAAATCCCCTGCGTCCTCTCTCCACAAGCAGGAACAGTCGTCTCTTCCATTCGCCCTGGCAGCTCCCCCGATGGAGTCCGCTTGACACCCCGCCCCCTCACTGTGTCACTGGAGGCCTTATCTTCATTTCCTGCCCAGAGCCGTTAATTTCCGTTTCATCTAGACCCACAGATACACCCGCGGAATTTTAATAATCGTCACGTGAGGAAAGTCCTGTGCCGAAGGACATTTGAGAAGTCTTGATGAACGCGACGTTAAACAGCAGCAGCCCTTTGATATGACGGCGGACAGAGACAAAGCCGCAATCCGGGCCCCGTACTTTCCACTCTGGGAGGTGCCCCTGCCTCGTGCCCCCGTGGCCAATAGCACTCGAGGCCACAGCCACCGTCCTATGGGCCCAGGGACCCAGCCTTGCCCAGAGTCCTCTCTAGTGCGCCTGAGATGGGCAGGGTGTGGAGAACAGTGTGTAGGTAGGGAGGGGTCCCCAACCCCCTGCATGGAGGAATCGCTTTGAAAACAAGCAACGCTCCCTCAGTGATTCTGACTGTCAGCCAGGTCAGTACTAGAGCAACACAGCAAAAAGCAACGCACATCGATTGTATGAACATAGGATCTTCTCATAATAATGTCTCCGCCAAGATGTGAGTTAATGCTATGCGGTCAGCTTATATCTAGGCTCAGTACAAAAACCAGCCATTCAAGGAATTGATTAATATCTGCAAAACCAATAGCGCCAGGCCCGCTGCATTCAATGACTCTTTAGACAAAGCAGCCCAACAAACCCCTCATAACGCACTCCAGAGGGACAAGCGTGCCCCCTGCGGACCTGGGCGCTCCCTTCAGCAGAGCAGGGACGGTTTCTGGCCTTGGGCTGCCAGGGGATTGATGCCAGATCGAACGAACATTTATTACACCTCTCTCGTCCTAAATTCCTGGTCCAGTTCACTCTATCCTTAATTGTGTCTGATCCGTGCTTAATCCTTCTTTTTGGCCTTCCTGTGCTTTGATACTGATAACCACTTCCAGTTCTGTGGAGAAGCAGGAGACAGAGGGGGCCTGTGCAGTGTGAGTGCGGAGCCATGGACTCCCCATCGAAGCTCAGCAGGCAGAAGCCACTGAACACACATGGGTTTGGGGGCCCCGGTGTCCCCGGGTTTGAACTACTGGCCTCCATCCCCTTCTCCTCCCAGTGCCCAGGATCAAAGGCCGGCACAGGTTGACACCCTCCTAGGGCTGGGGGTGTGGCCTGCCCAAGCCTCTGCAGCCCTTGGACACCAGCTGTGGGACCACGAGAGCCCATTCCTCTCACGAGCCGCCTGCAGGCTGGAGAGGGAGGGAGAGGTCAGTCACTGGTCCCCTTCCCTACCTGTGCATCCTTCTGTGAGAACCGGGCGATCTGCTTCTGGTTTTCCGCCATGTCGTTGCCCAGAAGTAGGGACCTGGGCAACTTGCCCCCTGCGCCTTCTTCCAGCAGGGGGGTGAAGGAGTAGGGGTCCCGAAGGTGCAGCTTCAGCCCATGTTTCTGCAGAACACAGACCGGACACGCAACCTTAGAAGGAATGTGTGGCCTCTGCCCTCGACCCTTCTCTGATCGTGTTTATGACCATGTACGTGCCTGCGTGCAGGTTTCCAAGGTCCTGACTCCTATTTTTTAATATAAGTGCATAATAAGCCCTCTTGCCCAGGTGCCCTGTGGCAGACCACACCACACCCACCGTGACAAGCCACACGTCACACACGCCACGCCTCACCACACCACACAATGCCACACCGCACACCATGCCATGTCACAGCGCCCCACGCAACGCCCCGCCACCCTGCGCCAGGGACTGCCCTGGGGTTTACAGTGGCTTCCTCACACGCAGCAACTCCATGTCCCCTTCACTGTACAAAGGCGACAATGAGGCTCAGAGGAGTTAACCGACTTGCACAAGGTCGCGCTGGGAGGTGGGTCGGGCTGCGAACCGCACCTCTGTGCCCCCCGAGTCCTGGCTCACTCGGCACTCTTCTGTGGCTCCCCCACTCGGGGATAAAGAATTAAAACTCGGAAAGAAACAATGAGGCAACACTCACATGGAAATCCATACTTATAAGGTAGGTAGATTATTCACATCAAAAGATTTTATTTACTTTGCAGAGTCATTTACTCCATGGTCACCTTGAGTGGAAGTTCCCTCGATGTATGTGAAATATGATTTGCTTTACAAATATCTGGGGAGCGCATGGACGTTTTCAGGAATATATTTAAAATAATAAAGTGAATAATCATGAGAAAATTTCTATTCTGTGATTCTTAGTTTTCAGAAGCTGGATTTTCCAAAAGAAGGCTCTACCCGCATACCCACCACCACATCCGCTACTGGTGTGAGTGGCGCATTTGCAGACCGCCTTCGGCTGGAGTGTGTCAGGGACCGAGGACCAGAAACCCCTGCACAGGCCTTGGCTAGATTTCGTCCTGTCCTGGTTGGTGACAGGCTCGTTCTCTCCCCCCTCTTCTCTCTCTTTCTTTCTCTCTTCCTCTCTGTTTTTGCCTCTCTTTCTCTTAGGAGCTTGAAGAGTAATTTGTTAAGGGGTTTCTGTAGTTACTTAGTTCAGAGAACTCCTCTTTGTGAAACTGTTCAAGCAGCCAAATTGCTGTAAACAGTGGCTCAACATCTTATTAGTTTCAAACTTTCAGTTATAGCCAAGTCGGTGCTGACGTCACGCCAGCTTCCTGGACAGAGGGCAAAGAACCTCTTCCTCTTGGGTGACAGAGGCACCCAACATGTAGAAGCTAGCAGGCTCAGGGATGAGGTGACCAGAGTTTATGAAAGAGGCAGACGGAATCTGAAAGGGTGGGGGCAGCACTGGCTAAGCCTTGGACCAAAGTCAAGCTATGGGAAGTCAACATGGGGGGACTGAGAGGTCTCAGACCCTCTCACAACAGCCCAGGGGCCAGAAAGGGTGCGAGTCCCTCTGACTCCCTGTTCAGGCTGCTGTGGATGGTAGCAGGATCTGAAGTTCAATCAGCTTCATGTCCTAAGACAGCTCCGCAAGCTCAGAGTCTCAAGGGTTCAAGTTGGTTCCCCGTGAGGGCCAGACTAGACGCCAGAAAGTGATGGGCAGGGAAGGGGGGTCCGGGTCCTGGGCCACGTAGGCGGTCAGAGTGCTGCACGTAGGAACACTGGCCTGATGTTGCCAAGTTCGTCCATCAAAGAAAGTTTCATTCTTATGTGAAATTTCCTGATTTTTAAGACACTGGCCGGGCTAGACAAAACCCATCTCTAGGAATGTACCAAGGAGACTGTGTGGAATGGACAAGCCCTCGGGTGGAAGAGAGACCTGGGGTGCAGAGAATCATCCTCACTGTGCCCTGGAGTGGGCACAGGACGGGCAGCCTTTGCCCCAGAGGGAAGACAGAACGGACCCCTCCCCCGGCCCCAGTCAGGCTACAGGGCCTTACCTTCAGCTCCAGGTCAGTGTAAATTCGTGGCCTCAGCAGGCTGAGCAGGTAGGATGCTCGAGAGAACTTGAACCCTGAAACCAAATCATATGAAGACCATTACCAGTGGCCACCAACAAGCCTCCTGCCGTCGGCCCACACCAGCTCTCGGGGCTCACCTGGCACGATCTCCTCCGTGACAGCCGCGCCCCCGATCACATGGCGCCTCTCAAAGACGGCCGTCTTCACCCCCAGTCTCTGCAGGTAGGCCGCCTGGGGGGACACACAGGGCCCTCCCTTCATTCCTGGGGATGAGCCTGCAGTCTCAGGGTTCTCACTACCGGGACAGCCTGCCACCCCTCGGCTCCTGCTGTCCTCACCTCTAGGAAAGCCATTCCCTCGTGTCCCCTGTAAACTCGTACTTTCCCAAATGTCTTCTAAGATCAGACATGATGGCTTCTGCCCCTCTAACTCCCAGCTGAAGGTCACCTTCCCTCCTGCCAGGCCCCGGTGCCTCCGTGAACTCAGGTCCCTCTCCTCCAGGCGGGTGTGAGCTCAGCCCTCCTCACAGGCCCCGAGAGGCAGCACAGCGACCTTGCCAGAGGATGCTGAGCCAGCTTTGACTCTCCGGCTTCTAGTCCTCTTTCTGCTGGGGCACCTCGACACCCAACCTCCCAGGCCTCCGTTGCCTCCTGTGCAAAGGTGGGGCCATGATGGCAGTGCCCACGGCACCTGTTCCGTAGGCCACTGGGGAGGTCACTGAGCTGGGCCCTGGTACACAGGACTCGCCTGATGAATGAAGCTAGGGCTCCAGTACCACTTTATTTGGAGGAACAAATGATGGAGGGGTTTACTCATTTTTCTCTAGCACTTAGAAATCAATAAATATCTGCTAATTAGAATTCATTGGGCTTTGGGTCTATGCTGGTCCTTCACCATCACTAAGGTGACAACATGGACAGTGTAGCTCTTGGACTTAAAAAATGGTTTATTTGGTAACTATTAGGTGCCAGACACTGGACTGGATCATCTTGTTCAACCCTCGAGGTAGGAGTATAATTCTCCCCATTCCACAGATGAGGAAACGGAGGCTCAGTGAGGTGAATCACTCTCCGCAGGCTCATGGGGCTGATGAGCACAGGAGCTGGGAATTAGATGCAGCTGCTCGGAACCCGGGGCTGCACTCTCTGCACGTCCCAGCGGGAAAGGAGAAAGAGCGGCGCCGACCTAGGAAGCCGGCCTGGCGCTTGCTCGGCGGTGAGCCACACGGCCGTTAGAAGGACCACCTGTGACCAGGGGCGTGTGAGGGCGTAGAGACAGACAGAGCAAGCCCCTCTGCAGTTCTAAGCACAGACATAAATGGGGCTCCGGGCCACCCCAAAATACCAAAGGCGCCTTTCTGGGCTGCTGCTGCGTGTCCAGTTCCCGCTCTCTCCCCGCTCCCTACAGACCAGATTTATCAAAGTGCCCGGTCAGAGCGGTCCCACTTTCTGGCAGTGCCCCTCAGGAGCAAACACCGCCTTCCTAGAATCTCCCTCAAAACGTCTGATCAAAGTGCAAATCGGAAAGTCAAGTAAAATTGACATGTCAGGGAAAGCACCGACGCCTGTCTGTCTAGTCCCTGCCGGGTGTTGCTGAGTCCCCCGTGTCACTGCTCTAGAGCAGCCACGGCTTCTAGACATTCCATGTTCGCCTCGTGTCCTGCACCTCCGCTGGCACCTCCCACTTGCACGTGCACTCGGGTCTGAGAGGCACGGCCACGGGGGCCCTGGCCCAGCTCGGAGCGGCACCTCCTCTGCTGCGCCGGCTTCCTCTCGGGCTCTAGGGTGCACCCGGGGTCACATGGCCTAGACCTGCCGGGGTGCACAGGGCTCTATACACAGAACTGCCCGGAACCCGGAGCAGAGGGCCCCACCCAGCTGCAGACACCTGGCTGCCCGGCTCGGACCGTCTCCCGGGCCGTGCCAGTCCCGCACTTCCCCAAGTACATGTGCATTAAGGAGGCGAGGAGAGGGAAGGGAGCCCCCGATGTCCTCTCTAACTGCCGCAGGCGTGCGTCCCAGCCAGCCGCTGGTGAGCACCAGGCAGAGGGTGCTGGCCTGCCTTTTCTTCTCTGCGGAGGCCACCCAGAGCAACACGCCTGGGGCCGGCCAAGTGGGGCAGAGGGGGAGGTACTCACCGCCACCAGCCCGTTGTGACCTGCAATGACACGGGGAGAGGGGAGGAAGCAACATCAGTCATCAATCAGTGGACAGACACATTCCTTGAGTACTGGGGTCACGCATCCCTGTCCCCACGCCTGCGAAGATGCTGGAGAGGCAGCAGAAACTCGGGGACCCCTAAATCTGTACCTAGATGTTAGCACGGTCTCTAGCTTGATGCCTTAAAACACCTGGTCTTTCAGGGTCAGAAACCTTGGTTCTTCCTCACCTTGAAAGATGTCCTGGTGCAGTGAGGGGCGAGGAGGGATGTGTGGTCATCAGGTGGAAGCCGAGCTTCCGTCACTTGGGGATGAGTGGGAGACTGTCGGAGGCAGTGTCACAGTTTATTTGGCAGGGAAGAGAAGGGAACGTGGCTGGTTCGCCGAGGCTGCAGGTTTCTGTCTGCATGGAATCAGTGGCCGCTCCGCATAGCGTTGGTTGTGTGGACGGCTGCAGTTGCCAAGCCTAGCTTGTGTTGCCAAGTGTGGCTCACAGTAGTGCCCTGGCAGGTGTCAGGCACACGGGTTTGTCTCTGTCAGTCCCAGTGCCCCCAAAACAAAATAAGAACAGTCCAAAAGGAAGTCATAAACATGCGGTTTCCATGCGCACTAAAGAGCACTAAACTGTGTTTCAAGGGTGCCAGCACACTGGGCAAACTCAGCTATCTTACATACAAAGTTTCTTTCCAAAAAGCTTAGGGGGCTGCTTTGGGGTCAGGAGCCTTGGACTTGGCCTGGGACCCCTGTTCCGCATGAAGCCCACTGCTGGCAAGTGCCTCTCCAGCTTTGAGAAGCTTCAAGGTCACCTGGGGACTTGCAAATGCCGTCTCCCAGACCCCTCCCAGGGTCTCCTCAGCAGGCTGCTGGTGGGGCCTGGAATGGGCTTCCTCGCAGGCCCCCAGGTTGTCTGATGCAGGGCCCCGGGGCGGAGAGGCCTTCTCTGTTCTTACTTTCAGGAGAAGGTGCAGCTGCCCATGGAGAATCCTCAGGGGGGCAGAGAACAGGCTCCTACCATTTTCAGGGAAGGAGGAGGGGCTGGTCTGGGCCACTCAGTAGGTGCCTGTCCTTGGAGATGAGAGGTCGCCCTGTGTCTTCACCGCGGTCGGGAGACGACTGTGTTCTCCGAGGGCCCACCTGAATGCCGTGTTGACTCAAATAAAAATGCTCAGCTGCCAGCCATAGACAGGGGAACGGCAACGACCCACGGGATGGATTTCTTCACAGCTGAGATGATTTTATTTCAAATTTTCCACATAGAAACCCCCAGGGTTCTAGAGGTCGTTGAGCATCTCATCCACCTGAGGGATCTCGAGCGTGGCGTTCCCAACACCCCCCCATGATCCACGGGAGGAACCGCACCCGCTCTGCAGACGGCAAAGCCCCCACACGCATGTGCGTTTCACAGAAACAAAAGTTTCACAGAACAAAACTGATACGAACTCTTGTCATGTGATCAGCGGGTGATGGTCTATTTGATAATATCTTATTTTTTTAAATGCTGGTGGATATACTATTTTTACACACTTTTGAAAATTCTCCTAGGAAACTTTGAAAAATATTTCTGGGTGGGACTCATGAACGGGCTGCAACCTCAGTCTGAAGAGCCCTGGTCTCGGACACATCCAGCTGCGGGGCCAGCCATCCGGAGCTCAGCCCGGCCTCGGCTGCTCACCAGGCACGGCCCCGCGGAGTCTGCCTGAAGGCCAGGAGCCTCACGCTTCTTTGCATGTAAAACCGAGAGGATGCTGGGGGCCCTTCGGTGTCTGCAGAGGGAGTAACCAATAATATATGTAAAGCCCTGGCCCTTAGCAGCCCCACAATAAATGGTAGCTATTGGTCCTTTAATTAGTGCTGATTATAAATCTTGGAAAACTAATACAGGCTTGCAGGCAGCTGGGTTCCAGTTCAATCATCCCAGATAAGCCCTCAAATGCACAAACACACTTCAAATGACAAAGGTCGAGAATCTCTCCTCCCTGCCCCCTCCGTCCCCGAGTCCTGGCTGAACTCTCCTGAGGCTTCTGGTGGCCTGTCCCTGCCCTGCCAAGTGGCCTGAAGCTGCAGGCTCAGCTCATCTCCCGGCCTGACTCCGGGGTCCTCAGGCACCAGGGCCCCGCGGAGACGCTGCCCTCAGCGGGGGGTTCTGAACAAGGGCTCCCGAGTGTTCGAGCTGCAGCCGCCTTTACGGGATCCGCTCAAAGGGCTGGTTATACACGCTGACCTCCGGGGTCACCTGCAGTCCAGCGAATCCCAATCGCGGGTTCAGGGCCCAGGAAACTGCACTTCACAGGCTCCTGCGTCATTCTTAGGCACGTTCTTAGGTGACTAAGTCAGGGTCATCTTCCAGGCGGCTCCCAGGTGCTGCTGTGACTTCAGGGATGACTCACGGGCGTGTAGTGTCTGCAGCTGAACCGTGGTAAACCGCGCAGAGAGGGGAGGGAGTGCTGGTCCAGAGTTCAAACGCTCTCACCTGAGCCAGGAGGGCGCTCCATCGCTGAAGGAGGCCTGGAGTTCCGGTGTGAGTCTTCGTCATTCCACTTCTTTCATGCTCGTTCTACTCTTTCAGGTGAATAAAAGTATCAGACATTTTGGGGGAAACCATCTGCATTTGTAGGTTGCGACCATAGGCTGAGTTTGGCAAAAGGTAGAGAGATTCGGGGAGGATCAACCGGCCGCCCAGAACTTACAGCACCGTCGTTTCACCGAAAAAGGGTGCGCCTGCCGCCTCCGTGCAGCCGCTAGCACGCGCACCCCTTCCCAGACGCCTACAGGGCGCGGCCTCCGCTCAGTCCTGTCATTGTCTCTGTATAAACCAGCTGGAGATAATGTCAACCGCTGGGACCCAGACCCTTCGTGAGTAGAAATGCCTGCCCTGGGGAAGCACAGCCTGGTCTTGACCTGCAGCCACCCGGTCACCGGGGAGAACTGGGGGCTCTGCAACGCCGGGTCAGCGGACACGTGCAGGGCGGGGGGGCTCACTCTCTGCAGACACGCACTCGGGTCTCTGGGACTCATTTCAACGTCTTCCTAACTGCCCCCTAGCAAACAATTCCAGTTTCCTCTGGAGATGGGTGGCCTTAGAGATGAGGCTGTGGTGACCAGAACTCGGGGCACTTGGGTGGCTGGATTTCACTGGCCTGTTGTCCCAGGGCTCTTAATTTCTAACCGTCACATACCATATGATTTTCAAGAATATGACAACCAGCAAATTTCACGGGAGGTGGAATGACCTAGTCCCCCCTCATCATTCTAGATGCTGAGGCACAAGGCCAGAGAGGGCAAGAATCTGTGCCAGACCACACAGCAAGTCCACGGCCCAGCCGACCTCACAGCCCAGTACCTGCTTGCAGACTGGTGGTGCGCTTTCCACCGCAGCCCCTGCTGTCACTCGCCCCAATTCCTGGCCGGCTTGTCCCCACAACACAGGGAAGGTTGGGAAGGGGCCCTCCTGGCCTCTGAGCAGGCTGCCCTCCCAGCCCCCAGCCCCAGCTCAGCCGCTTTACCTGCTCCTATCACCACCGCGTCGTACTCGGGCCTCAGGCAGGCCTTGGCTTCCCAGTGAGCTTGCCTCCCAGCCACGCAGAAAGAGGCTCTCGGGGCCCTGCTGAGGCCTCGGCCACTTGCAGCCATTTCTGCCCAGAACTGGACCAGGAATTTGCTTGCAATCAGAGTTTGTCCTCCTCAGGCAGGGGGAGGAGCAGGGCCAGCGCAGGACAAGGGGAGGAGCTGCAGTCCACGGCCGTTCTGGGCCCTGGGCCACGGGTAAACGGAGGAGGCCGAGCTGCGCATGCCCCCGAGTCCACACCGGACGGAGTTGTGGGAGGTGGCCTGTGGTGCCGGCAGGAGCGGTGCCGCCTCCAGGCGTCCGGAGAGTAACCTCTGTGCTGATGGCTCTCGAGGGCTCACGTGTGCCAGGCGCTGTGCGGGCCCCGGGACTCCCATTGTACAGATGGGGGCACCGAGGCTCAGAGGAGCATGTGTGGCCTGAGTGTTCACGGTGCTGTCCTGCTTTTCATGAAGGAATTAAGTGTCTGGGGGGTGCTGAGGGGAAATCTGAGACTCGAGTCCAACTCCGCTCCCACCCCCTGTGCTGCTGGCACGTAGGGCAGGGGACCCCTCGGGGAGCCCAGGGCCTCAGCAGAACTCGGGGAAGGGCCACGTCTGTCGCTGGGCCCTAGAGAACAGCACGTTGTCTCCCCCAAATGCTTAACCTCCGTGAGCTCAACAGGCTGCTGCAGGGGCCTGAGGGGCCGGGGTCCAGTTCAGTTACCTGAAGTTCCTGGGGTTCACCTTTTTTTTCAAAAAAAGGTTTTAATTTATTTTCAGAGAGAGGGGAGGGGAGGGAGAGACGGAAAGAAACATCCATCAATTTCCTGTTGCACACCCCCAGCTGGGGACCCGGCCTACAACCCAGGCATGTGCCCTGACCAGGAACTGAACCGGAGGCCTTTAGGGTTGTGGGCACGATGTCCTACCCACTGAGCCACACCAGTCAGGGCTACATTTTTCTCTTGACGGCCTGGTTACTTCTGTCTCCTGGCACCTTTCCCAGGAATCCTCAGGGATTAAAGATCACCTCTGTAAATATCTTAAGCTAAGGTGCCTCCTTACCCCCTGGCCTGCCTTGAATAAAGAGCGCCTTTGTCCTTGGCCCCTTCGCTGGCAGGCCACTCCCCTGAAGGAGCAAAGGGCCCGGGGAGCTGGGTGTGTCCACGCTGCTCTGACATGTTCTAGAAACCTGCTGTTAGAAGCTCACCTACACACTGGGACAGTATGCAGAAAAAGTGCTTCTGAGTAAGGGCGCCCCAAGGACCTTCTCCTCCTGAACCCCCTTCCACACACCGTGGAACCGTCACCCCCACTGCTGAAACCCCACTCAGGACGTTCCCCTGGTGTTACTAGAATTTTGAAAATTAAACTGAGAATGTGCCCCATGCAGCTGCTAAAATTTAAGGGGACAAAAGTGGGGGCCCTAAACAGTGGGGGCAGGGGGCTTCCAGACTTAGTTTCCCCTTTGTGCTCTTCTGTATTTGCCACAATCGACGGTTTGCATTTCTGTCCATCACGTCACAGTAAGGAGTGCAGTCCCGTTCCCTCAGGTGACTGTCCCTCACCGTCACCTTCTGGGCCTGAGGTGAGGTCCTAGTTCCTTCAGTACTTCTGTCCCCGCACCAGTGTGTTCCCTTAATGGGAAAGAACAGCCTTACTGGCCTGAGTCTTGGCTGCAGACCGTGGACACAGAAGGCCCGGGCGCTGTCTGCAGTCAAGACTGAGCCCACTGTGCCGCCCCCCAGGCCCAGAGCTCCAACGGCCTGTCCTGTGTCTCCGGAGGTGGGGGCTCCTGGGTTGGAGGCTGCACCCCTTGGGCAGTGGATCTCAATCCCGGGCACACCAGGGTCACCTGGGACCCACGGCTGGAGGACACGGACCTCTGGGAGGGGCTTAGGCAGGACGGGAGAACCGCACGGGGCACCAAGAGGGCCCAGGGGCCCAGACGTGTTTGACTTGGACAATACCGATATCTGCGCCAGCATTTATTGAGCCCCTGTCCCATGTCCAGCGGCCCTCACACCTGGAAAGGGAGGCGCTGCCACTCCGCACGTGGGGAGACAGGCTGGGTTTGGGAGACCTGCCCAGAGCCGTGGACAGGAAGTGGCAGAGAATTCAACCCCAGCCAGTGCAGGCCCTTCCGTGTGGGGAGGCAACAGCTTCCGGAGGAAGCCCTTCCTCCCTCCAACAAAGGCACAGGCAGGTGTCTTCGGACACGGCCGGCACTGGGGACCTGCCCCCTGGGGCCAGATGGAGAGGCAGCCCTGCGCCTCACAGCCACTGCTGTTTTGTGGAGACCGAAGGAGCCTCCTGGCTGCCGTCCTCTGCAAGACAAAGAGTCTGGGGGTTTGGTCACTGCCTAGAGTGTGGCTGTACTGGGTGAAGCTTCTTCAAGAAATTGTACTGGGAGGGAACATAAGAAAACAAAGAAAAAAAAAGAAAAGAAATCCTGGGCTGCCCTGGTGACCATCCCATCCTCAGGTGGCCTCCTTGGACAGAAAGGCTCTTGCCGGGAATGTCTGCAAGTGGGGGTGGGGGTGCAGAACCGGGGAGCACAGGCCCCTGCAGTGGGCAGTCGGCCGGGCCTACAGCAGGGGCACGCGGGAGGCCTCCCACAGGCGCCGGGCCAGCTCGCCCGCCTGCTGCACCAGCATGTCTAAGGGGATGACCGACAGGTGGAGGGCCAGCAGCTCGTGACACCTGACAGTCTCGGCGGGGTGGCCCTTGCTGTAGTAGCGCAGGAGCTTCCTGTGGGGAGAAAAGGGGGGACGGGATTCAGGAGCGAGGCCACGGCCTCCCCCACAGCCAGCGACCTCTTCCGGCGCCTTGCAAGGACCATCACCGTGCCGGCTCCCAGCACCAGGGCCAGTGAGCCCACCCAGCCCCCGCTGACCTAACCACACGAGGCCCAGCCCTGGGCTGCCACGGTCCACCCCTGTGGGCTCTCAGTCCTGTGTGGGGTGTGCTGACGACGGTGTTCTAGCCAAGACGCCGCAGCGCTGCAAAGTTCTGGGCTGCAGCACCCACGTCGCAGGCGCCGCCCAGAGGGTGCCAAGGGCACAGTGGGAGAAGCCCGAACGTGCCGCACCCGCTGCCCTCTCCCGGGAGGCTGAGACGCTTCTGCACAGGTTTCTAGCTTATCTGAGTCGGGGGGGCGGGTCCTGAGGAGGGGCTGCCACTGATCACCCAGCACCTGTGCAGCCTCGGCCCCGACGGCCCCGACGGCCCCGACGACCTTCCGAATGAGCGTCACCTGTAGTAGTCTCCGCCCAGCACGCCCACGGGGACCGAGTCGTCGGAAAGAACAGGCACCTCGATGATCTGGAGTTTGTACCCCTGAGGAAGGAGGAGGAGGCTCATGACTGGGTGGGCGGCGGGTGTGGTGGGTCAGGCGCCCCAGATTCGGGGCCGGCGCAGCCCCGCCCAGTGTGTGTGGTGCTGGGGAAGCCCGTGGCCCTTTCACCTCGCTTTCTCTCCTGTGAAGGGGGGTAACAGTAACTCCCAGTGACCATCACAAAGAATGCGTGTGAGCTCTGAGCACTGTGCCTGCCGGCAGTAGCCCTCACTGCCGGGGATGGATGGACCTGGGTCCGCGTGCTCAGGAGGGCCCCAGGGAGGGGGACCCAGGAGGTGTCCCGAAGAGCAAAGCATCGAAAGGCCCGTCTCTCTTTGAAAACACTGGGAACTCCTGGGGTGGGGCCTGGAGGGGAGGGAATCGAGATCCACTGGCCCCCCTGGGAGCCAGGCCCCTCACGGGCTCCTCAGAAAGCTCACGTGGAGCTGTGGGGCCCGCCCTGCAGGCGGGCAGGTGTGCTGGGCAGTGCTGAGTGGCCGCTCATGACGGTGCAGGGGCAGCTTCCCTTTAGCCTGTTTCTACGGGGCCAACCAAACAGGAGTCCTGAGGACACAGAGCAAAGACAGCAGCAGCCCGCAGGCCCAGTGAGCTGAGCCCAGGACCACAGTGACCCCGCTGTGATGTCTGGCCTCCAGATCACCAGTGTCTCCGGGGTGTGGAGTGGGGTCAGTGATACCTGCCCCAGCCATTGGGTGGGGCTGTGTGGATGTGGGGTCGTGAGGACAGGGGCGAGAGGCTCCAGTGCCTGTACTGTGGAAAGGGATGGGCCACTGCCTCGGGGTCCCCTCTCGCCACAAGCAGAGAAAGAGTAGGTATGGGGTGGGGGGACAGGAGAGCGGGGACCAGGGGCATGTACGGGGTAGAAGAACCGACCCTCGGGAGCTGGGATAAGGACGAACGCACCGGTGCCACGTGAGGAGGAAACAAGGAGGAACAGAACAGGAGGGCAAACGAAGGAGGAGGGAGAGCGAGAGAAACCGGCACGATGGGGACGGTGCAGATGGTGACTCCCCAGGCCCCGGGCGGCCCCGCAGCACCAGTGAGACCTGCAGCTGCACCCGCAACTTCACCTGGTGCAGGCTGCTGGGCTGCTCTGGGCCTCGGTTTACCCGGCTCTCCCGTGGGAGTGAGGGTGCCATGCTTCCTAAGTGTAGTGGCCCCTGAGGAAGCTCGTGGTCTGAGCAGCCTTCCTCACAGGGGCCTGCGTCCCTCAGTCCACACGGGGCCTGCACACCGCCTTGAACAGCAGCGTGAGGTTTCCAGACCACTGGGTGGAAGGGTCTAAAGCTGGTGTGAAAGTGGGACCTCTGGGTCCTGGGTCCCAACCAGCCTGGCTTATCTGTCGGCTCCACCAGGGGCAAGAGATGAAGAGGCAGACCGAACACAGTCCACAGGAAGCAGCTACAAGTTGCAGGAAAGGAAAGCCACACCCACCATCTCGTTCTGGAACCACAGGAAGTAGGAGCAGTAGAAGTCGCCCTCCTGGAAGAGCAGCGTGGTGTAGCCCTTCTGCAGGTATCGGCGTGCCAGCCGGATCAGAGACCAGACCTGTGCAGGGAGGAGAGAGCGCTCAGCACTGGGGGAGAGAGGTCGGCCCTTCCCCACGGCAGGGGCGGAGCTCAGGCTCTCGCCTCCCTCCCTGGGCAGAGCAGCACCCAGGGAGGAGCTCCGCGGAGGCCGGGCCTGTCCACTCCCGGCCTCCCTGAGCGCCCAGGCGCCGCCTTGGCTCAGGCAGGAGCTCCGTCACAGATCCGTGCTGGGTGGACAAGGCTGCTACCCCTGCAGTTACGATGACGATAAACGTACATAAAAACACTTCACATAACTTGGCTCTACACACCAACTACAAATTGGCAAACTCATCCTTCAGGTCAGAAAGCAGCCAAGGACAATGTTAGTACAGTAGGAGATGAAGGGTGGCCACCTAGAAACCCCTCTCGCCGTTGGGGGCCAACCAGTCACTGGTCCCCTCCTGGATGGGACCCTCTGGTACACACAGGTTCTAGGCCGGGAAGGTGCTGGTGAGGTGGGTGAATACGCAGAGCCCCCTGATCCCAGTGCGCCCTCTGCTGCAGGGGCGAGGCCCGAACGAGGCTCACCAAGGGGCCTGATCGAAGCACGGTGCTCAAGGACTGGGTGACCGAGTCGCCCTCTGCCACGCTCCGGCCTCATTCAAGGGCTGCCTGTGCACTGTCTGGGGGCAGCTGCCCCACCCCCGGCCTGATGAGCCCTCTCACCGAGTAGCAGCGTGGAAGGCAGACATGATTCACTCCAAACCTGCCCACAGCGTAATGTCTAATTACAGCTGCAAACAAATACATGGATTCGCTGTGTTCTCAGGAAAGCAATTTGACAAGACGTATCAATAACCTTAAAAACATTCCTCCCATTTGACTTAGTAATTCCATTTCTGGGAGAAAAACAATCGGAGACGAGGACAAAGACAGATGCACACAGGTGTGTGCCCCGTAATTATTACAACAGTGAAAGCCTGGCAATGATCTCCGTGCTCAACACTGGTGAGACGGCTAAGTAAATTACGTTGCAGTCACATGACAGACCATCGTGGAGCTGTTAAAAATCACGTTTATAAAGAATCAGTGACACGAGGAAACACACCTGATAGAAAAGCCAGGGAAAGTGCGGTAAACAGGACTGTGCAGACAGAAAGGGCTCAACCAAACCCCGCCCAGAAGGACGGCGTGGGGAGGGGGAGGGGGAAGCTGCCTGTGTCCGGAAAGAGGGACGTGATGATGGAGGGGGAGGAGGAGGGGGAGGAGGAGGAGGAGGAGGAAGAAAGTGCTCAGTAAGTCCCACCTCTAGGTGGTGCCACACGTGGCGCTAATGCTCTGCCCGCACCACTCCGTTCGTCTGTGACCTCTGTGGGGACTCCAGTGTCACCATCCTCTTTCACAGACGAGGAAACTGAATTTACACTAAGTGACACCCCAGCCACAGGGCCGGTGAGAGCCAGTGTGGGGTTCCAACAGACCCCGCGTCACCTGCCTGGTTCCAACCTCTTGGACACACTTCATTCGGATGCAGAAACAGCGGTTGTGTGTGTCTGTGTGTGTACATACAGTTTAAACGTGGCCGAGGGTCTGCCCTTCTCATCAAAAATGCTAGTTTGCCAGGAAGAAGGGTCAAAGAGAAAGAAGAATCCCCAGAGAAGGCTTCCTTGGTGGAAATGACCTAGTGTGAAGTTCTGATAGGCAAATTAAGCTGTGTTCCTACTTTCTGTTTTATTTAATTCAACAAACATTTACGGGGCCTCTATGGCTGCCAGGCACTAAGGTGGGCTCTGGCCACTCCTCCCTCTGACCTTGCTGCCCAGGCTCTGCTAATCCGGGGCATTAGCAAACGCCCGGGCACTGACCGAGGCCCGCATGGCCCTGGGTGCCAACCTGGGCCCTAGGGTGACAGGGACAAGCCGCTCTCCTTTGGAGCGAATATCATCGGAGGAACAGCGGGGGCATGGGGGGCGGTGCTTCAGGACCTCCAGGAGCTCTGAGGGTTCGGGGACACCCCTCCCAGGCAGGGGTCAGGCAGCACCCCAGGTCTGCCTGCCGGCGGCAGTTACCTTGGTTCTGATAAAGGCAGCCAGGGGCCCCTTGCCCAGCTCCGACGAGGTCCTTTCACTGCTGCTGAGAGAAGGGGCCACCATCTGGCCGGTCGTGCGGTCCACGTGGATGAAGTGCACCAGGCCCGGGAAGTCTTCCAGGTAGGTTAGGGTCTGAGTTAAGGTGCTCATAGGCCAGGAACCAGGGAGGGTGCTTCTCTGTCCCTGACCCAGGCCCCTACAAGGCTCAGCAGTGGGCCAGAGGCTGGGCCTGCCACGCCCACCCCTCCCCGCAGGTTACCGTCTCAGCCGGCCCTTCGGGCCCCTCTCCCAGACTTCCCTTTACTTCCGAACCCCAACCCTGAGAGGTTCTAACATGCAAGCACAGTGCATCCCTGACCCTAGCACATGTAACACGCGGAGTTCTGGATGAAACAGGAACACGGGCTCCTATTGTACGATTTCTCTCAGCGGTGCAGGGCCAGTGGACAGGGGAGCCACGCGGGACACCAGTGAGCCGGGCCGACCGCCCAGGGCACACGCCTGACCGAGACTTTGTTCGTCACCGCACCTCCCCGAGAGGCTGGGAGGCTGGGAACAGTCGCCCACGGAGGGCAGTGGCTGATGGCTCTGTCACCCCTTTCCCTGCACAGAGCTTTCAGGGGACTGAACGCCAGACCCTTCAGAGATCGTAGCATAGGCAAAGCTGCTTCCCTGGACGTTCTGGGGGAAATCAGTGTTTGATAAAATTGTGTTCCTTAATAATAACAGGGCCTCACCAGTCTCGGGCAGTTTCTTACACAGGGACGAGGTGTCTCTGCAGGCCTTCTCAGAGCCCTCACGTTCATTCTGCTGTGAACTACGACCTCAGAGCAGGCGGGCGTGGCCTCAGACCCACCGGGCCTAGGACCCCGCCCCTCCTGGAATGCCCACCGGCAACACCTACGTGAATGGAGTCTAAGGCTTTTACAGAGTAACTCTGGGCATTCCTACAGAGCAGCGCCGAGGCCGTGATTTCCTATCACTGCTGCTCAGAGAAAAGCAGCTGAGGCAGCGGAGTACATACTGTCTCACCCAAAGCCGCAGTCCTTCAGAGAGGGCAGGCGGAGGGGCGGACGCAAGGGGCTTTTCTGGGCTGGCTCGGGGCTCAGACGGCAGGATATGACACCATGGTGACGTTCCTCCTGCTCTTCACTAACAAAAAGTCCTTCCAGTCCATCAGCTTTTCTCTGCCGAGAAAGCAGGGGAAGCCAGGGAATGGGGAGGCATGCCCCACCCCCACCCCGGCCATCGGGGCTCGGTCACCCCCATACTCACTGCATGAACATCTGGACCTGGTCCTGCAGGTGCTGGGGCAGCTGGGGGCCCCCCTGGCCCGGAGCCGTGGTCAGGAAGCTCCGGCGGTAGATGACGCAAAGCTGCTGCTTCAGCTTCCCGCACACCTGGAGCAGCCTGGGCACCAGGAGAAGAGAGTGTCTGAGTGGGCAGGGCCCTGGGAGAGCGCCCTGTCCCCTGTCCCCTGTGGGGGTCACCGTTGCCCTCGCAGTGACCATGGACACAGCTGATGAAGTGCACCTCACCCTCGTGACCCAGGAGGCCGCTTTCCCATTTCCCCCCAGTGCCATGCTCCATGCACTTGGGTGAAGTCCGTGGGATCCTGTCCAACTCCATGGTTTACTTTTACTAATAAATGGCGGGAGCGTTCCAGGCCACCCTGATTCAGCGTGGAAGCCGGGCGGGGCCCGGGCAGTCCGTCCCAGCGCTGGTCCTCACAGCCTTGCTCCTCCGCCTCTGGCCTCTCTGCTTTCCAACCCCCCTCCTGTGTCCTCCAGCTGGACCCCACTCTGCCGGCACCCCTGTCCCCTCAGAAGCGCCTTCCTGAACATTCTATCCCTCTTGGCCTGGAGCCCACCACTCACTCCCAGGACGATCCGGGTTCACTTCTGGAGAAGGCCTTGGTCTTGAACTCCTGCCAGGTGCTCTGCAGAAGAACAGGGGACAGGTCAGCTTCCTGACGATGCACCCACAGTGAGGCCCCGGATGTCAGCCTCCTGAAGGTGTCGTATGGCCCAGCACACAGGTGCGCTCACTCGCACAGCCAGAGTGGGGGTCTTGGCAGGTCTCCCCAGACCTCTGCATCTGCTGTCCACCAGGTTCTACTCTCTTGTCAGGTGTCTCTTTGAAAAGCAGTGTCGTATGCCAGCACAGACCCGTGAACGAATGCCACTGGTGACAGGTAAGTGACTGGAGGGAGGGTGGACATGGGGTGGTCGCTGGGCACTGGGCAGGAGCCCTGGGCCACCTCTTAGAGGAGAACTTGGCATTCTAAAACACTGCCGCTGCAAAACCCAGAAACAGCCTTCGGCTGCTCGAGGCCGGGACCCTGGGCCTGTCTGTCTGGGTCTGGCCCTGTCTGGCTTGCTCTGCCTCCTCCAATTCTGCTCCTTTTCAGGCCAAGTTCACGGTGGCCACAGCGACTCTCACTTGGCTCCTCAGCAGACCGGGCACTACCAGCGGCCTACCCAGGGCCCTGTGTCCCTCCTTCCTGCTAGGCCCCCGGCCCCGCTGCGCCCTGCTTCCTGCTGCTCCTGCCCGTCCCTGGGCGATGCCCCTCGTCTGTTTGCCTTGTCTCCCACCAGGGCTGGAAGCCCCCCGGGGTGGGGGTGGGCTCTCTGTGAGACCCGTCGCGCTGTGAGGGGTGTCAGGGGCAGCCGATGGCCTTTACTGAGTCCTGGGGTCAGGCTCTGGCCAAGTCGAAATCTGAGTCCCAGTTTCCCCCTAAAACAATGGGATTTATATACGCATGTTCTGCCAAACTTGCAAAAAAATGATCTGAAAATGTCAGGTGCCATTGTAAGTTTTTATTACAATTTCCTAATGGGGGGCAGTGTTCCCAAAGCTGTGGTGGGCCAGCGGCGGGCTCCGCAGCCCGCAGCCCTCACTGGTGTGGGCTGAACAGGCCCTGCCTCCTCCCGAGGTGGGCCTATGGGGGATCCGGGCCTCACCTGAATCTCTTGCCCCTTGTGATTCTTGACGAACTTGTCCATCCTCTGGCGCAGGTCGCCCATGTGCGCGTGGGACCGCAGGAAGCTCCGGGCCTCCTGCCCCTCCTTCAGCTTCTTCTCCAGCAGGGAAAACCCGTCCAGCAGCTGGTACAGGACGGGCGCCATGGACGCACTGGGGCTCTAAGGGAAGAAGCAGAGGGCAGAAGACCAGGCACCAGTGGGGAAGGTGTGCCGGCCATGGCGTTGGCGGGGCAGGTGGGGGGCTCAAACCTTGGTCAGGAGCACCATGCTGATGCCCGGCCACAGGGGCAGGCAGTACAGGGTGTGGGGCACCATGGGGCAGTAGCTGTCTTTCACACTGGCATCCAGGAAAATCCTTCGGGGGCAGGGAGGTGCTGGGGAGTCAGGGATCAGCGTTTTGAGGGTGTCTTCAGCAATCTGTGGAGGAAGAGTTGCTGTCACGGGAGGAGGTGGGGGGCCTGTCCGGCCTCCTCCCCGTGCTGGATCTACCCACAGCTGCCCATTCGCCGTCCATGACATGAACCACGGGAGCAGGCATTTTAGCTCCAAGAAATCCCAGTGCTTCAGTCCCCATGCTCTGCGGGCCCTGCTCCTGCAGCTCCAGTTCCAAGGCCTGTGTCCCTCTCAGCTGCTTCTGGGCCCCCCCCAGAGACAAGACTGGAAGCCAGCAGGGAAGGGCAGTGGGCGGTAGAGAGGAAACCAAAAGGCAGGAAAAGCGGGTGGGTGGGATGAGCGTGAGAAGCCCCCTCCCCACGCCGTCAACACAAATGAAAGCATTTTAAGGAACATTCCGTCATTCCAGCTCCCTCAGAGAATCATGACAGCCATTGTAACGGAGAAACTGAGGCATTAAATGACTGAATGAGCAAGACCCCAGTCTTACAGAAGGCTCTAAGAAAGCCTTTAGTGGGCAAAAGGAGAGGATTAAAGAGCTCATCAGAGATGCCACCGAGACTTCTCTGTGAGGAAGTCACTGTGGTCTTATGATAAAAGCAGAAAGCTGGATGCAATGTACCAGCTACTCTGGGGATTTGCACGTAAGCATCAGCACGCAGGTGATGCACTCTCGGGCAGTCGCTAACCGCACCACTGAGGAGTGAGGAGCGCCCAGGCATGGAGAAAATGCATTAGGATTCAAATCTGATAAAAGAAAAAACATATATGTAGTGTGTGTATGTATAAAGAGAGGTTTTTATTCCTTTTCCATGCTTTATTTTTGTATTTCCCAATTTTCTACCATGCATATATTTATAATCTTCATTTTGGAAAGAAAAATATGAAAAATTAAGCTGGACTTTCACTCCCAAGACCAGTGAGGAGTGTAGGGGTTTCTCAGGAGCAGGGGTCACCACTCACCCCCCACCCTGGCCCCTGCCTCTGGGCTGAGTGAGCTGTCCCCTGCTGTGCCAGCCCTGCGGTGGCAGAAGTGACTCAGAGGACAGACCTCCGAGCCCCCAGCACCCACTGCAGTATCTCCGCTGAGCTGGTGCCTGGCATATCCACACATTCTCCCCGCCCCCCAGACTCACCTGGATCTGGGAAGCATCGGTGGGTGGGGTGCCTCCATCCAGCCAGACGGTGCTGCCTGCAGGCCGCCAGTGAGAAAGTAACAACATACATAATTGGAAAGTATAAGTAACGGCCCAATAGCATGTTAAAGGGGGAGGGTGGAACAGAGGCCCCATCTCCTCGCAGCAGCTGGCAGAGGCAAGCACTTGGCACGGGCTGGAGCGGCAGCGCCCTTCCTGTCCTATCCCAGGCTGGCAAGTGCAGGCAGAAGCCACGATACCAGGGTTAGGGCCGTCCCCAGAGCCCGGTGCTGGGAGCATATGCCTGAGGATGTGCCTGGCAATGTGGGGGGCATGCACCTCAGCCCCCTCCTCACCCCCAGTCCCCTCCTCGTTTCTGCCCTCTTGCCCTGGTCAGGCCCCAACCTGGCGGTAACAGTGCCTCTTCCACAGGAGGCAGCTCTCAGTCTGCATTTCCCCAGCTGTTAGCCAATCAACAGACTTCTACTGAGCACCTACTATGTGCTGGGAACTGATCTACATTTCCCTTCCTATCATAGCTCACAAAAACCTACAGAGCCCATTTCCTATTGCAAATGCTATATGATTGTAATAATAGTGTTCTCTCATGGTTATTGCAAACAACTATCATTTATAGCCATGCTTCTCTGGGGAAAGTCTGTTCCTGTGTCTCAAACACCTGATTTACAAATGGACGAGTGCAACTCAAGCCATTTATTTATAAGCTGTGAGTCCTCTGCACCGTGGAACGGGGTTATTTATACCTCTAAGACATAAAGAACTAACCACTGAGAGAAAGGTGCAAGGGCGGGGGTTGTGATGAATGAGGGAAGGGGGCAGTGAGAAGAAAAGGGAACGTCAGCGGTCACCCCAGACGGCGCTTCTCCGAGTTCTGGGCTCGTGTAGAAGCTTAGAGAGCAGCTGTGGGCCCTGGCCTCAGGGAAATGCACAGGCATCAATGAACTGGCACGTGAGCTCAGCAGGCCTGGGCTCCGGCAGTCCATCCAAGGACCGAACACTAAGAGCTTCTAACCCAGTGGTTTTTAACTGTGGCTGCGGAGGAGACCTCTTAAAAGTCCTGATGTTGAGGCCCTGGACAGTTGGTTAGAGCGTGGTCCCAAGATTGAGGGTTCAATCCCTGGTCAGGGCACATACCAGAATCAATCAATGAGTGCATAAATAAGTAGAACAACAAATCGATGTTTCTTTCTCTCTCTCCCCCCCTTCCTTTTTTTCAAAAAAAAAAAGAACCAAACAAACAAAAACAAAAACAAAAACACCCCCTGATGCTCAGGCCACACCCCAGGCCAATCACGTCAAAGTCTCTGGTGCAGGCCCAGCCCCTGTAGTTTCTAAAGGCCCCCAGTGAGCCCACCGCGCAGCCAGGGCGAGAGCCACTGCTCTGACCTAAATCTGCACAGTCGTGGCCCTCACCCATGGCTCACTGGCCTCACAGGGACACTGCTACAAGTGCTCAGGCCAGGACTGCAGCCCCGGGACGCCAGCTTGTGCGGTCTGGCTGAAGCTGCCCGGCCGTTCCGCGGCACAGCCGGGGCCAAGGACCCGGGTCTAAGGAAGAAGCCACACGGCACCTTCCTTCCGGAGCCGAGTCCCTGAGCAGTTTCGCCTCCGAAACCCTGGCCTTGTCCCTCGGTCGGATGACGTCAGCGTCCCCTTTTCCCAAGAACTTTGGAGAGAAATGTGATTCCCGGTCGCAGTGTTGCCAGTCCAGATGCCGGCTTACCCGTTTCTCTAAGCAGTGTGGCCTTCGTTGCTTTGTTACACTGTTCAGAACACGTTTAGTTTATTTTTGTTGTTTACCCACATTCTCTAAAAAAATACTCAGTCTCTATAGTTACAGAGGCTGAATATTTGTATTTTAAATCACTGTACTTGAAATCAAACGATTACTACTTAATTTTAACTATCTGATTACTAATTACCAAAAGGAAAGAGCAGACAGAGAATACACATTGGAGAGATGAATTTTTAAATGGAATCGATTGTCATAAAAATTTTCAGCAACCGCCTGAGTGGCCCTCGTGGCCCTCGTGGCCCTGGAACCCAGGCTGCAGCTAGCTGCACAAGCGCTGCGCTCTAGAAATCGGGGGTCTGTTCCTGGGCCCTCACACGGCGGGGGGCCCACTGCACCCTAAGACGGACTGCCACTTGGCATCTGTCTCCTTCCCTCCCCGCACACCCCTGCTCCCCCCGCCGCCAGGTCTCACCTGAACCTGAACTCTGCTCTCCTGGGGAAGGAGCTGGGGTGAAGTACTCCTCAGGGAGGGAGAAGCTGTCTGTCTCCTGTGGGCAGAAGGGGCAGCATGCGCTGAGGGCTCCACCCTGGTCCCTGCTGTCTCAGCGGGGGCAGACCCTCCCCTCCCCCTCCTCCCCTCCCTCTGGGCACACAGCACATACAGTCCCTGCAGAATTCCTGGTGGGGGCGGAGGACCGAGGGCTCCAGGCCTGCGGCAAGGGGATGTTCTGGCTGCTCTGCAGCCTCCGTAGGGAAGGCTGCGACAGGCACCGGAGACCAGTCAGAGGTGCCTGACCGGCTCCTCCCCACCTGCCCTCCACTTCCCAGCGCAGTCCTGGGAGCAGAGGCACAGGCAGGAAGCCCTGGTGCCCTCACTTTCCAAGGCTGTTTCAGTTCTAGGTGGTCTGTCTAGTCCTTCTCCACAGCCACTGAAATTCCATCTCACTGATACCCAAACCACCACCGAAGACCATGAAGGTGGCTACGATGGCGACCAGCACTTACTGAGGGTTCCTTACCCCCAGGCACTGCTGGCTCCATGAAACTGCCTCCTTTATTCCTCCAAACAACCCTGAGAGGTGGATGCCACCACTGTCCCATCACACAGATGAGGCAATCGAAGCTCAAGAGGAGCAGGTACTTGGGCAGCTCATGTTGCTAAGTGGTGACGCCGGGGCTGCCTACGCCCGCACTTTTAACCAGGCGCCCTCTAGCGTCCTCCCCTATCTGAAAGCAGCAGGAAGTGCCTCACGTCCAGCCACGTGCCCGTGACCCAGGGGCCACGGCCTCCCCAGCAGCTTGCCCCACACCCGCCGGGCTGTTTCCTGGGCCGTAGCCCTGATGGCCTCCCGCAGCCCCAAGAGTGGACAGAGACCTGAGTGTCATCGGTGCCATTGTCCTCTGTTGAGCTCTCGCTGGGGCAGAGGTCCTGGACCAGGAGGATGAGGCCGAGGAGGTCAGCTGGGCGCAGGGGGCTGGCGCTGTGGCTGCAGAGAGAGCAGGCAGCTGGTTGGCACCGCCCAGCGTCCTGGCGGCAGTGGGCGAGACAGTCGGTTAAGCTAAGTCTGGAGCATAGTCCCTGCCCTCGAGGAGTTTACAAATGTGCCCGCTGATTTCATCCTTTTTGGAGAAAGGCAAGATATATATAAAACACACTGATCTTTAAACACTTGGTTGTGTTTAAAAAAATTACCAATGGGAAACCGCCAGAGACTGGTCTGGCCTGTCAAGAAGTCCAAAATTCAGAGTCAGGGTATTGCTGGGCAAAATAATTCAGAGAAGGAAGTGAGCGAGAGGGGTTGAAGAACTGAAGAATCTGAGAAGGCTCATGGCAGAAGGGGGTCTGGAAGGTTTTCTTGGCCAGGGAAGTGGGGCTTCTCAGACGGGGTGTGAGCGAGGGGCCGGGGGAGCGCGGGCTCACCTGGAGTAGAAGGCCAGCAGCTTGGAGTGCACGAGCAGGAAGGCGTGCAGAGCCTCCTCGCCGGCGCGGGCGGGGCTGGAGTTGACAGCCTGGACCACGTGCCGCTCCAGCGCCTCTATGCACAGCTCACAGAGCTGAGGGTGAATCAGCCGCTCCACAGCCTGGCCACATGCGGGCAAGGAGAGGAGCCCACGTCACCCACCACCTCTCCTGCTCCGGGCCCCGGCTGGTGGGTACGTCCACCCAGTCCACACTGAGCACAGACTGTGTGCCAGACACCTGGGAACGGGGAGACTCCGACCAGCACCATCCCTGCTTTCCTGGGGCTTTCGGTCTGCTCTCTAGAATCTAGTGGGTGAGGCACACAACATGCAAGGAAAAAGACAAAGAGCTGCGTAGGAAATACACAGTGCCGGGCTGGGAAGAGTACAGAGACCCACTTGGGTCAGGTGTGCAAAGAAAGAAATCAGTTTAAGGACAAGAAATCCTGTCAGAGAAAGGAGGGTAGGGAAGGACGCTGCAAGCAGATGGGAGAGTACATGCAAAGGCCCTGAGGTGGGGGGAACATTTCCAAGTAGTGTTGTCCAACTAATATACAGGAGGCAAGCCCTATGCACAATTAAAAACTTTCCAGTAACTACATTAAAGAGGTCAAATTAATTTTAATAACTTATTTTAACCAATATATCTAAAATAGTATATTTCAACATACAATATAAAATCATTAATGGAGTGTTTGACAGTCCTTTTTTGATACTAAGTCTTCAAAATCCAGGGTATACTGACTTATACAGAATAAGTCAATCTAACTAACAACACTGCAAGTGTTCAAGAGCATCCTGTAGCTAATGCCCACTGTGCGGGACAGCAGCTCTGCCGAAGGGAAGAAGCCCCAGGCGGCCAGTGCACAGTTGGTGCGGACAAGAGGCCCGAGATGAGGCTGGGCCAAGACAGGCAGTGGCAGGTCGTACAGGGCCTGGGGGGCCTGGGAAGGAGTTGGATTTTATTTTAACTGCATTCTATCATCTGCAAAAAGCCCTTCCTAATGTCTCAGAGCTGACCATGACATCCTTCGTACCACTATGGATTGTAATGAGAAATTCACGATGACAATACCCAGGATACTTTCTTATAGATTTTAGCACGTGGCTGATTTCTCCTCCAGGGCCGGGACTGTGCCTGCCTGTATGTCTGGATTCCCAGGGCCTGGCCCGCCTCTTACACGTAGCAGGTACTGAATGTTTATTGGAAGAGTGAATGAGTGGGCTATGAAAATGTGTTCCTGCAGACCTATTTTCCAATTTGCTGATTCTCTCTCTAGCTATGTCTCATCTATTATTTAACCCATCCCTTGAGGTTTCCATGTTAACAATTGTATTTTCATTTCTACAATAGCTACATGGGTTCCTTTGTAGCTTTTATGTTTTTAAATATTTTGTAGTTATTTTATCTTCTGGAGTAATAATTCCAGCACATCAAATGCCTTAGGTGCTAACGCGACAGGTTATGACCCCCCTGACTCTCACGGGGCTACTTCCTCATGCCCTGACGGTGAACTGTCAGCTTATGTGGTCTGCTCTTAATCTGTCATCAAAAGTGGTTATGCAGTGGCTTCAAAGTGTAGTTCCTGGACCGGCATGATCAGCACCACCTGGGAACTTGTCAAATTGTAGAGCAGGGCGCCCAACCTTTGGGTGTCTCTGGGCCACACTGGAAGAAGGAGAGTTATCTTGGGCCACACATAAACACTAATGAAAACAAAAAAAAATCTTACAATGTTTTAAGTAAATTTAGTTTTGTGTTGGGCCGCATTCATAGCCATCCTGGGCCGTACTCGGCCAGTGGGCTGTGGGCGAGACACCCCTGTTCTGGTGCCCCCCCCGCCCCCCCACTGAATGAGACACGTGAGGCCCAGCGGCCTGTATGTAACAAGCCTCCGGATGATTCGGATACACACCGGGGTGTGTGAACCCCTGACCTAGAGAGAAGCTGTCTGTCGATACAGGGGTCAGGGACAGCTGCAGACAGAGGTCACCTCTGCTCCTCAGGGCTGGGCTCCATTGTCTGCTTGTTTGGTGCTGCTTATTTTTCTCTGCTTTCCACTCTACTTTCAGCTCAGAATAATTTTGGGGGCGGTCAGAGTTGAAGGGGCTATTTGTAGAGATTTCTATAATTTACTGTGAGTCCCCAAACTGCATTTAAAAGTCTTTTTTATGCAGGAGCTAGCTGTTTTATCATAGAAAGGCCCATCAGAGAACCCAACCCTGTGGTCAGAAAAACAACCCTCTAAATGCACAAGTTTGGGGTCTTCCTGTGCCCTCACTCATCAGAGGGCTCAAAGAATGGTCTCAAAGCCCTTCTGAGCTGACACTCGCGTGGCCCGAGGGCTCTGGCACCCAGCAGTCACCTCCACAGCGAAACACTGCTCCTGCTCCCGCAGGCGGCCGTAGGTCCTCAGCAGGCTCTGGAAGCGCTCCCAGACCTGGACGCGCCGCGCCAGGTCTGGGGGCCGCAGCCTGGGGGAAGAGCAGGACAGAGCCGTGAAAAAGCTGGTTGTGCCCAACTTCAACCAACAGAGCACAGTCCTAGATCCTTGTTAGGGCCGGGAGAGCTCATGTGACCCGACCAAATATGGGGCGGGCAGGGAGGTGGCCCATAAAGCACAGAGGGGCCTGCCTTCGGGCCGAGCCTGGCTGGCGAGCGGAGTGGGATGGGTGGGGAATGGGAGCCAGGCCACTGAGCAGATCGCTGCAGTTCTCAGTCTCTGTCACACGTGGACATGTGAGAGGAAGCCCACTAGGGACCCAAGGAGGTACCAGGAAGAAGCGGGGGCACAGGATGGATGGGCAGCTTCCTGGAGGCTGGGTCCACACTCCCGGCCTCAAGAGGCACTTAGCAAAGATCCGGAGGGGACCAGCCACATGGACTCACTCCTTTCGGATGAGCTGGCCATCCACGGTGACCAGCCCGAAGTGCAACTCGAACAGGTACTTGAGCACACGCAGCTTCTGCCGCAGGTCCCCCTCGCCCTCCGTGTGGTCTCCGTTGATGGCGATGAACAGGCATTCCCCAAACTGTGGGCACAGCAGGCTGACGTCAGCTGGTCCCAGGGGACTCCCTTCACCTGCCCTGACCCCTGGGGATAGGGAGGGGAGAATCAGGTCCCAGGGGATTGCCATAAGCCTCAGCTTCTGCCTCCTAAAGGAGTCTGGACTCCAGATGAAGGAGAGGCAAGCGGAAAGCCCATGGATTCATGGAGAGAAGAGCGCGGGCCCCAGAACCACACGCTCACCAGGTGAAGAACATAGAGGTAGCGGCCATTTTCCGTGGAGAAGCAGGTGTATGTGTCTGAGAGCTTCTCCAGCATCGTCATGGAGGAGATGATGACCGGGGCCAGGAGGGTGCTGAGCTGGTCCTCCAGGGCAGGAAGCTGCAAGAGGGGAGGGAAATAACACTGCTTCAGTGTGCCACACACTGGGGACAAAGAAACAGATAAGACCCAGGCCTTGCCACCAAGGGTCTCCATAGCTTTAGATCTGCCTGGGACGATGTCACTGTTCTGACAGGGAGGGGCAGAAAGACACTGCCTCTGAACACTGGGAAGGGCCGGCCAACTAACTGTGCTGTCCAGGCTCTGAGGGTAGAAGCAAGTAAGGAATGAGGCCACATTTCCACAGTGGGATGCTCGGGCGTTTCATGGGGAAGGGCCGGCCAACTAACTGTGCTGTCCAGGCTCTGAGGGTAGAAGCAAGTAAGGAATGAGGCCACATTTCCACTGTGGGATGCTCGGGCGTTTCATGGAGAGCTGGCCGACTCGAAGAACCTCCACTGTGTGCACCAAGGTCCCAGCCCTTTGCGGCAGGTCTACTGTGGGGGAGTGCATGCTAAGAAAGGTGGTCCAAGAGGGCGAAGACACTAGTACAAAGATGTTCACTGCAGCAGGGGTCCCCAACCCCCGGGCCAGGCACCCGTCTGGGGCCCGTCAGGAACAGGGCGGCACAGCAGGAGAGGAGTGGCGGCCAGGAGAGGAGTGGCGGGCGAGCGAAGGAGTGAGCACGGCTTTGCTGGCATTGCCACCTGAGCTCCACCTCCTGTCCGCCTGCTCCACTTCCTGTTCCCTGGACCTGCTCAGCTGTGGAAAAATGGTCTTCCACAAAACTGGTCCCAGGTGCCAGAAAGGTTGGGGACCGCTGCACTACAGCATCATTTATAGTAGCAAGCAGCTGGGAAGAATGTGGATGTCTAGCCCCAGGGGAGCAGTTAAAGAAATAACAGTCCGTGATGCAGGAAGGGAATGTTTCAGTGACACGGAACACGCCTCTGACAGTGTTGCGTCTAAAACACAGTGGGATGCTCTGATATGAAACTGCATAAAAAGCACTGAAAATATTACAAAAGCCAACGTGGTTAAATTTATTACTTCTGGACAGACTGAGTGTGAGAGATTTTTCCCTCCTACTTTTTATATATTTCTGTACTTTCCCCATTTCCACAACAAGCATACTTTTACTTTTACAAGCTTGTCCCCCATCTACCCTCTCTGCCTTCCAAAATAAGGAACAAAACAAGTAAAAGCAAAGAGACTGGACAGATTAGTTGAAAATCTGTGAACAGCACGGGACGAAGCCAGCGGAAAGGTCAGAGCGCACATTCACAGCACTGGGGTGAGAAGAAAGGAGGCAAACAGCCCACCTTCTCCGAGCGGATTTCGGGAGACGGGCCTGAACGAGGAAGAAAACGAAGTCCCTGCCTTGGGCTGCTGCAGTCGGTCTCAGCACGAGGAACTGAGCGGGACCCTGCCTTGAAAAGCAGGCAACCGGCCAGCAGCCACGGGCAGCGCTGAAACCATGAGCGGGGCACCGCGGGGCACCGCGTGCGGTCCTCCCACGTTCCCAACACTCCGGGACCAAGGCCCTGTGCGGCTGCTGCCCCATCTGCCAGTGAGGCTGACGCACTGGCTCCTAATCCTCACTCAGGTCCCAGCTCCGACAGCCCCTCCCCGGTCCACCCTCAGGCCACCCGGCCCCGTCACTCCCGAGTTATCTTTCTCCGACGTCACAGTGTTTCCTTGGTTCACTGCACGTCTTCCCTCCTTCGCCTCTAATTCCATGAGAGTAGAGTCCTACTCACTGCTTTAACCCTGAGACTGGCACATAGTGGGTTCTCAATTCATTTTTGTTGACTGAATAGCCCTCCAGACAGGCACACTTTTGTTGAATTATTCACATAGCACTATTTTCTGGAACTGGCATGAATGAATTATATTAATAGAAAACTCATTTAAAAATCTTGATTGTGTACAGCAACTCATTTTAAAAGTAATGGCTGCAGGTGTAGTAGCAAGGGTGTTTTTTGGTGAGAGGAGACGAAACACCTGTGTAGGCAGAGCGTGAGGAGGGTCTGGTATGGTAGCTGGTGGAGCCCTGGTACAGCATCCTGGAGTGGGTTTTCAATCCATGGTTCTACTTTAAGGGATTTATCCTAAGGAAATAGTGAGCTGGGGGGTAGAAGCCAAGCACAAACGCTTCCTGCAGCAACGGTCACAGAAAGGCTCTCCTCCCGCCCCCGCCCAGCGTGGAGGAGACGGGGAGATGCTGGGACACACTCATTCACACACCGGCGTGCGTGTCCACGAACATATACGCTTCTGAGAATATTTAACAAAACGGAACAGCACTTCAGCCGTAATGGCAACTGAAAAAAACAGGAAACAAATCTTTAAATATGGCATGATCCTAACTATGTATAAAGATGAAAGACCCCAAAAAAAACATATGCTAAAAAGCTAATAGCTATGGGTAGCAAAATTATGGGTCATTTAGAAACGCCTTCTCTCTATTCCCAAATTTCCTACAGTTGATTCACATTATCTACAGGATCAAAAAAGTATGCTGTACACGTTAAAAAAAAACTTTATAGACTTTATACTAGCCATGTAGAAACTGAAAAATCAGGAGTTTATCAGTTTGTTCCTTTTCCCGGTTTTCATTAAAGAGGAAGAGAAAGAGTATCGGAGAGCTAGTCGAAACGACAGCTTAAAAACTAAAATACTTAAAAATTCAACATGCTGACTGCTGAAAAATGGAAGAGCCTGGTAGACAGATCTGCTTTTCCGTTTCAGGAAAGCCAGTTAAACGCCCATGACCTTGGACTCTTTGCTTTATCCTAGAGGCTGTAACAAGAGTATCTGGAGAGGCCCTGAGGGACAACTGGTCGTGCAGACATCCCCTCGCCAGAAATAAATAAATAAATAACTTTAACTCACACCTGACACCACATAAAAATTTCAAAATGGAGCATTAGACCGAATATAAACCCAGGACTATAAAATTTCAAGAAAATACAGGGAGAACTCTGTGACCTTGGACCACAACCCAAAGATTTCTTAGAAATGGCATCAAAAACATAGTCTATAAAAGCAAAAAAAAAGAGTAAATCAAAGTTATCAAAATTAAAAACTTGTGCTCTTTGAAAGATGCTATTAGGTGGATGCAAAGACAAGCCATAGACTTGAAGAAAATACTTCAAAAAAAACCATGTGTCTCCTTGGACCTATATCCAAAATACTTAAGAAACTCTCAAAACCCAATAAAAATAAGAAACAATAAATTGGTGAAAGATTTGAACAGACACTTCATTAACGAAGGTGTAAGAATGGCAAAATAGCACATGAAAAGATGCTCAAAATCATTAGTTATTAAGGAACTGAAAATTGAAACACAATGAGATTCTGTCATGAACAAATTATATTGATAGGAAGGTCACCTTCCGTTAGACACCTATCAGAATGACCAAACCTATAAGCCTGACCACAGCAAGTGCTGGCCAGGCCACTGAGGAAATGGAAGGCTCACATTCCACTCGTGGAATATAAGGTGATACAACCTCTTTGGAAAAGCTGGGCGATTTCTTACCAAGGTTAACACACACTGGCATGGCCCAGCCACGCTGCCCCAGGGATGTCCCCGAAAAGGGAGAGCCGGTGTCCACACAGAGAAAGGCCTGCAGGGGATGTTCACAGCTGTCTCGTGTGCAGGTAAAAACCGGAAACAACCAGATGTTGTTGCCATTAGTAACAAGTAGTGGATGGACAAATCGAGGCGTACTGTTGAAGAGTCTACTGCTCATCAGTGCAAGGGCATGAAGCACCGACCCACAGCGCAAGCGGGATGGACCCCAGCTGGGCCGCGGGAAAGCAGCCAGACCAAGCCAAACCCAAATCCAAACCAGTCAGTACCTGCTGTGTGGTTTCATCACAGAGAAGTCTGAAAAACACAAACTCCTTTCTTGTGACAGAAAGCAGAGCTGTGGTTGCCCAGGGTGAGGTGGGGGGAGAGGAAGGAGGACCACAGATTTGGGGGTTGGGGTGTACATCCATCTTTCTGACTGTGATGGAGCTGCAGGTATGCGCACACATTAAAGGGTATCGAACTGCTTGTATGAGCATGTTCAGGTTCGGTATGTCAGTTATTCCTCAATACGGCTGCTATGACATGTGTTAAACTCATGCTAAATGTGTAAAGAAGTGGGTGACAGCCCATTTCTCTGCCGTGCGATTAAAATTGTACGGGGTTGGCCAAAAAGTTCATTCAGTTGTTGTCTGTAGGACGGCTCCAGTAGTGTTTAGCTGTCTTTAAAACTTCATCTGAAACATTTCGTGAGATTGTATTGTGACAGCTATTGTATCAGTGTGCATTTAAAATAAAACTTCGCTAAATCGGTGAATTTTGTGCAGCCATTTTAATATTGAAGATGGAAAAAGATATGCAACATTTTGGTGTATTATGCTTTATTATTTCAAGAAAGGTAAAAATACAACTGAAACACAAAAATAGATTTGTATGGTGTATGGAGAAGGCGCTGTGACTGAACGAACATGTCAGAAGTGCTTTGTGAAGTTTCTTGGCACTACTGAGATTCTGGCCAAATAATTCTTTGCTGTGGGGCTGTCTTATGCATTAGAAGATGTTTAGCAGCAGCCCTGGCCTCTAGCCAGGAGAAGCCAATAGCGGGAGATAGCCAACATACTCAAAACATCCAAATCAATAAACTTATTGGTGACAATGAAACATGTGTCTTTTATTTTACACAAAACCATAATGGACTTTTTGGCCAATCCAATACCTCCTCTGCCCTCATTTAGTCCGGTGAGCCCTTGGGGCAGCATGGGGCGAGGTCTCGGCACTCCGCACCGCACTCCTCTGCACTGCACTCCTCTGCGCTGCACTCCAGAGCATCAAGAGGCCAGCCTCTGAGGACTGGGGTGGGGGTGAGGGGCACCAGACCACACACACTGCCCTGCTACTTCTTTGGGCTGGGCAGGAGTGGGCGGACAGGTTCTCTGGCCCCCCGCCCAGCCTTCCGGCCCCACACTCACCGCTTCCCCATCATTTCCTGGCTGCCCAAACTTCAGCTGCAGACTGTCTTCAAACTCCTTGTCTGTCCAGTAAAAGAGGACCTCTGCGCCCTCCGTGGCCACCAAGACGCACTTCATCTGCCAGGAAAAAGCAAGGTCCAGGTCACCTCCCAGCCCCCACAGCCTGAAGCCTGGCCCGAGTGATGAAGAGGAACACCTCCCGGGTCCTCACTGAGTGCCAGGCACCAGCACGGGGCCTCCTGGCGTTATTCTGCCACCCGCTCACAACAACCTGGTAAGACAGGAACCTCAGTTCCGCCCACTGTGCAGAGCGAGAGGCTGCGCAGCCTGGAGAGGCCAGGGGGTGAGGCCCGTTTCCCCGACAGTGTTTCGAGGCCTCAGACTCATTCACACTCTTTAGGGCCCCCTGTAAGACCAGTTCGGTGGTACTTATTGAATTCCCTCCAAATCTCCATGTGGTTTATTAACTCTCCTCATGGTGTTTCCAGCACAGTGAAAAAGAGGATGCGGCCTATTTCTGCAGCCTGGCTAAGCACAAGGCGGAGACTGGGCGAATGGTGGGGTGTGAAGAGGTTGCTGGAGGAGGACAGGGACCTGGAGCAGGCTCTGGGACTCCCAGGTGAGAGCGACTCAGTTAGGGGCTTGAGGGGACCAGCCTGATGGGAAAGGAGTATGGGATTGGGGCACGGTGGGCCATGGAATGGAGGCTGCGGTCAATAGCAGGGAGCCCCTGTAGGCTGGTGAGGGTGTGGCCACAGATGGATGAGGCTAGGTTATGGAGGTAGGTCATCCTCATGTGGGACAATGAGGGCCCACACTCCACTCCTTGGTAGGCCAGAGAAAAAGTATGGCTTAGAGACACAGCACCTCACCACCACAGCAGGCCTTGATGACTGCCTGGATGCAAGGGAGGAAGGAGAGCAGGCAAGGATAACATCAGGATACAGAACTGGGCAGGGGATAGGAAGAGGGCTCTGCAGAGCCAGGGAGAGCTCAGTCCATGGCCTGCCTGACTGACCACCTCCCACAGCCCCAGAGTGGGTGCTGCCTGCCTCCATCTGCCCCAGGTAGGGCAGAATCATCTACCTTGGCAAGGAGCACAGCAGAGCTTCCAGATAGCCTGAGGTCCAGGAAGGGCTGCAGTGGACAGACGTGGGAACCAACTTATGGAGAGCAGCATAGCATCCTGTGTCCTGCAAATGCTTAAAACAGAGAGGTCATGAGGGCAAGCAGTTCTATTCCTGCCCCCACTCTCAAACCATTAGAACAGGAACCCAGCTGACAGTCATACAGATACAGCAGGTACCCGCGAACATTAATCCCCACCTGCTGTGTCCTTCTGAGCCCTGTCATTTCACTGCAGGTCACTCCTAGCCATGGCGTAGTCAGCAAACCTGCCCTGAGTAGCCCCAGGGAAGGGGCTATGACCGGCTGTCCAACAGCATGACATATTCAGATGGACAGGAAAGCAGACCCGGAGGAGAGTAGGTGTCATGGGAGAACCATGAAAGAAGCTGACACCTTGTTCTACTTTTGGCTTTGCCAAGGCACAGAAACTTCTCTGGGCCTCAAACTTCTGCTGGGAAAGGGAGGGACAATCTCCTGCTCCACCTCCCTATAAGGTTATAGTGAGAGTCAGGGAGTAACCAGGCAGGACTGCCCTTAGCAAACTGCTTTCCTACATAGATGTGTGTGTATGTGCGTGTGTGTTGGGGCGGCGGCGGAGGGAAGGGGGGGCAGTGGTCTTGATTCTTATTTCCCACGTGTTCTTTGGTCAAATCACAGGATGAACTAAACTGGTTCTAGATCTTTCCATTTTGATGATAAAAGCCAGGAATAATGTAAAGCTCTTGCCTAATTAGGAAACCAAACATTGTAAGCAAAGTAGGGCAAGAAAGGGCTTTTAGGAGTGCCACGTTTTTTGCAAGGTAACAGACTTGCTACATCGCCGGCGTGACTGGCCTTAATGCCATATTCTGAAGAAAATGGAAATGCTCCTTCTGTGAATATTAGGTTCTATTTTTCTTATTCCAAAAGGCTGATGAGAGAAGTTCACTGGTGTTATTCTCCATTCTCTCTATCCTGCGCTCAGGCGGGAACACGGGACCCCTCGGCGCCGCTACGCTGCCGGTGTGGAGGGGGGAGGGGACGGCGCCCCTTTTCACCATCCTGCCCAGCAAACCGCCCCTGCGGCCAGCCGCCGCTTCTGCCCCCCGGCAGCTCCGTCCGGGGCCCGCTCACTCCGACCTCGACCTGGCCACAGCTGGACTGGGGGACTCAGGAGGGGCCATGGGCAGAGTGCAATGAGCAGCTCGCCACTGCAGAGGGTAGGCGCTCCTACCCACGGCAGTCTTCCGGTTTGTCCCGCACTCCCCAGCTTACGCGGCAATGTCAACCCCAAACCCCCTCCAACCTCATAGCTACCAGGGGAAGAAGGCCCGGCTCGCGGAAGCCGCCCCTCTTGTAGATGCAGAAACTTTGGTTCCAAGAAGTGAAGCCCCGGGCCAGGGCCTCACGGGCGAGTGGGTGAGGCTGGGGGTGGAGCCCGCTCCCCCACCACCGGGAGGGCCGGGCCGGTACGGGAGGAAGCTCCGCTGCCTGTGCAGGGGGCAACCGAGGGCCGCCCACGGACGGTCCAAAGGTCCACGTACCAGATCGCTGCCCAGCTGGTCCCGGCCCCCAGCGCGCTTCCGGGTGGGGGGCACGTGACTCCCCATGTGACCATCCCCCCCCCCCCCCCCCCCCACCTCGTCTCTGCTGGCGGTGTAGCGACTCCGGCTCCGTAGCCCAGAGAACTGGTACCCCTGTTGCCCCTTGATCACCTTACTGTCGTCAAGGAGGGGGCCGAGGTCCAAGGGATTGGAGACCCCGTCCACAACTGCGTGCTAGGGCTTCCCCTTGCCTTAGATGAAGTGATTCCCCAGTGAGGCACTAGGGCCATCGCCATTTAGCCCCATTTTACAGAAGAGGAAACTGGGGCCCAACGAGAAGAAATAACTTGCTGAGGAGGCCCAGTTAGGTTGAGCACCCAGGTCTCCTGGTTCCCGGCTGGGCTGTTCCTCACTGGTTTCACTTGCTGAACTGCCGCTCTGGGGCAAGAGCTTCGGGCTTCGCGGGCCTCCTGGGGAGGGGACGGCCTGGGGCGGGGGCGGGGGGCAGTTGCCCCCAGAGTGCCCGCGCTGGCATTTCTTTATGTGTTCTCAATCCACTGTGTGTGTGTGGGAGGGGGCAGTACAGTTGCAAGTTAGAGGCTTTGTTTTGAACCCATGTTTACAACATTTTCTTAAACTGGGTGTGTATTTGTAGGGGCTGAAGGTGGGAGAGCTGATGAAGGTCATGGAAGTGACTAAATTCCCATCCGGGTCACCCGGCAGTGCCTCGGAGTCAGTCTCCTGGGAGCCTTGAGCACAGCCCTTTGGGGCGGGGACTGGATTCAGCAGAGGAGCACTGCCTCACTTGCCACCCCCGCGGAAGGCAGGGGCCCAGAGTTAATGCCTCCGTCAGCTGCAGACAAAGCAAGTGTCACTCCCCCTCTCCTTCCCCCAACCCTCGCAGACCACCGTAGTGCCCAAACCTTCCAGCTCCCCATCTACAGCACTTAGCCCCGCCGCAGGCATCTCTTTTACCCATAGCTGAGGTCTTCTGGCCATGCACTCTTTATCCTGCTATTTCCACTCACAACGTTTCTCTCTTCTGTCAAGTTCCTCATAAGCTTGAATTTCGGTGGTTGCAAAATTCCATCAAATGAGTATATGCGGCTATTCACCCCCCTCCCCCCACTAGTGCATTTCCCATCAGCGATGTACGATGGTCCCAATTTCTCCGTATTTTCACCAACGCTTGTTGTCTATTTTAACTTAGACATCCTCGTGGGTGTGAAGTGGTATCTCCTGACTGCAATTTGCATTTCTCTAATGACTAATGGTGTTCAGCACATTTTCATATGCTTTGCAGCCATTTGCATATCTTCTTTGGAGAAATGTCTGTTCAAATCTGCTGCCTATTTAAGAATTAAGTTCATTATCTTTTTAATTATTGAATTATGAGTTCTTAATGTATTCTGGATACAAGTCCCTTATTAGATATTTGATTTGCAAAAAATTTCCGCCATTGTCTGTTTTGTCTTCACTTATCATTTGTAGCACAAATGTTTTCAATTTTGATGTAATCCGATTTGTCTATTTGTGGTTATGTCCAGTTTTTTGTGTCAACATGTTTTTGTTTCACTTGGGTAAGTAGCTAGGAGTGGGCTGGCTGGGCTGTACGCAAAGTGTGTGTTTAAGTTTATGTCCAGCTGTCGAACTGCTCTGCAAAGTGCTTGACCACTTTACATGCCCCCTTGCAATACTGAGAGTTTTAGTTGCTCTGCAGCTTCCTTAGCATTTGATATTATCTTTTTTCTCACTTTAGCCATTCCAGTAGGTATGTAGTAGTTTTTATGTATGTCTCTCACTGTGGTTTTAATTTCCATTTTCCTGGTGACTAATAATGTTAAACTTCTTTTCGTGTGCTTATATGTCATTTGTATCTCTTTTCTGATAAAGTATTCAAATCATTTGACCATTTTTAAATTGGATTGTTTTGCTTATTTATATGATTTTTAAAATATATTTGGACACAAATCTTTTATCAGATGTCTGTGTGATTTGCACTTTTTTCCCGTCAATAGCTTTGTCTTTTAATTTTCTCTACAGTGATTTTTCAAAGAATAGAAACCATTGTGCTTTTTTGTGTACTGTCTAAAAAATCTTTGCCTATGTCAGGGCCACAAAGAGTTTCTTCTGTGTTTTCTTCCAGAAGTTTTATAGTTTTAGGTTTTGCATTTATCTCTATGCCCCATTTCAAGTTGATTTTTGCAGATGGTGTGAGAGAAGGTTTCATTATTTTGCATATAGAAGTTTAAGTTTTCTAGCTCCATCTGGTGATAAAATGTCCTTTCTCCTCTGAATTAGTTTGACACAATTATCTCAAATCCGTCAACCGTATGTGTGGATCTATTTCTGGACTCTTTATTCTGTTGAATAAATTTGGAAGGGTTCAGGTCATATTAAGGAATTTATTGAATTTTCTCAAACAGCTTTTTGTGTCATCAATTTTCATTGGTTTTCAGTTCACCAATTTCTTTCCTGATATTTACTATTTCCTTCTGTTTACTTTGGATTTAATTTGCTCTTCTTTTTAATAATTTCTTAAGGTAGAAAATGACCTAATTTGAGACCTTTTGTCTTTTTTTAACGATGGCGTTTACTGCTATAAATTTCCCTCAAGGTACTGCTTTATTAGCACCTACAACTTTTGATGTCTTATATTTTAATTTTCAATTGGTTCAAAATGCTTTCTAACATTTCTTTTGATTTTTTGACCCATGGGTTAAAATGGGTCAAATGTGTTATTAATTTCCAAATGCGTTATTAATGTGTTATTTATAAATGTGTTATTAATTTCCAAATATTTGGAGGTTTTCCAGGTATGTACAGATTTCTATTTCAATTCAATTTGGTCAGAGAATATGCTATGTGTGACTTGAATCTATTTAAATGTACTGGTGGCCTAGAATATAGTCTTAGTGGTGCCCATAGCAGTCTTAGAGGTCAAGTGCTGAAGCTGGCAGAGAGCCCGCATCAGTCTAGATCCCTAAAGGACTCCATGGAACAGAACCACTGCCCACATTAGCTCCATGACCACCAACTGAATTTTACGTGATCTGTGAGCAAGAAATGAACTTAAATTATGTTATGCCATTGAGATTCTGGGGCTTACCTGTTATTGCAGATAATAATTACTTTAAGATAGACAATGACATCTAACTTGGATAATGAAAGTTAATTTCCATTTAGAGTATTTGAGGCAGAGCTTGTGGGGAGAGGGGAGCACAGGGTGGCTCCCCATGAAATCAAGGTCCCCCCGTGTGTTAGTTTGTCAGGCAGTCAGTCTCCAGGTAGTGGCAGAGCAGGGATGACGGTCACCTCCCTCTCCCCACAGATCACCCTGAGAACAGAAAGTTAGAGCATTCACATTTTATTACTTACAGAACATCACCTCAACATATAAACTACCTCATGAACCAAACTGTCTGCAATGATCGGGCACGTACAAGCCTTTGTATAATCTGTTCTCTGGAAGAAAATATTCACAACTGTCAACTCCCCTGCACAGAGAGGCAGCTTTCCCTGGGAAGTGTTTCTGCACTTATTTTGCCAACTTCCAATCAATAAAACTAAGGTTTCTTTTGCTTCTCCTAAAAATATAATTTATCACATAACATTTACAACTTGAAAAAGACTCCCAGAAAACTTTCATGAATAATAATTAGAGTAATATTAGTGATGTAGGCTGCAAGGAAGGGCCCCCTTTTCTCTGCTGGGTGCACGGGACGGTGGGATTCACTCATGAGCCAGTCATTTGGAACTTGGTCGGTTCCTCCCCAATACTCCCAGGGTTCCCAGGGGCTGCTCTGGTATTTGGAAGAAAGTAGGCGCCAAAGCATTTGATTTACTGTCTTTTGATTATTTCGGCTTTCTCATTTTAGAGTGATGTTTGCAACTAATACCCATGTGGCAATGATTAATGGACTTTTTTAATTGGTCTGGGAAAGTGGAGAGAAACTTCCAAACCTCTGGGTGGTGGCAGGGGAGGGGCAGTGCCATGTACAGGAGCTGACTGGCTGGGCCACTTCACTCCAGGATTTAGAATATCGAGACTCACCACCTGCGGTGGGTGCTCATGGCGGGAGTGGCCTTTTAAATTGTTCTACACAAAACCAAAGAGGGAGAGGGGCAGACCAGGAGGGTCACTGGTGGGCCAAGATGATCCTCGATTCAAAACTCTACAGCCAAGGCTGGTCATGGCCAGACTCACTACTCACTGGAGTTGTCAGTTGGCTTCCTCAAACCTGAGATCAACTGTCCTGGGTGAAGATACCACCAGGGTTCTCTGTAGACACACACGGGAAAGCTAACTGTGGACACCGCAGGAAAGTGAGTAAGTTGGCCATAACCAGTCCAACGGGAGAGAGAGTACAATGCAATGAGAGCAGGCTTGGGAATCCAACAGACCTGGGTTCAAGTCCTAGGCCTGCCACTCTGTTCATCTGGATGGCCTTGGATAAGTTGCTTCTCTGGTCCTCCCCACATACTCACTACCCAGGAATGAGACCGGAAGGCAGTACAGAAGCTTTTGTATTCCTGTTAGTGGAACCGAGAGGCAGTAATTGAAATGCTTCTGTTCCTTGGGCCTTATAATAACTGTTTCTACAATGAAAAGTTAATTCCCTCTTGTGCAGCAGATTTCCCTGGGCTCCGGGTGGAGGACCGAGTGGCTGGCAGAGGTGAGGCTGTGGGACAGGAGAGTGAGTAGCAGCAGCCCCGTCCGGGCTGGGCCAGTGGTGCCGAGGCGGGGGAGGTGGGAAAACAGGCAGCCGTGCCATATAAATGTGTATGCCCCTCCCTCCCTTGCCTTCTCCGAGCCATATCTCTATTATTTTTGGTTGCTTTATTGATATTTCACATCTTTGAAGTCCTTCCCTGTTCCAACATTTTATCCACCTGGTTCACCTGTGCATCTACAGAGATTAAACTCTTCCCTTTTGTTTTCAGAAATAAAACTGCTCTCAGTGGATTTCCCAGGTGAAGCCTGCAGCTGCATTCGTCCCAGCACAGGGACCTGGAGTGCACGTGCTGGAGCACACCTGCAGAGGTGGGGCCTGGCCTGGACCACAGGCAGCTCCTCAGGTCACGGTCCTGCCGGGTCTGCCTCTCCCCTCGCTGCCTCACCCCAGGGGGCCCCAGAGAGCTGGTGAGGCTTCTCAGCCAGATTCCACCAACAACCAGTGCCAAGTAATAGGTGTGGGACTTGGGCCCGTCTGCCTGGGGAGAGGCTGGGACTGCAGAGGGCAGGCGGGCCTCCGGGAACTGCGGTTCTGGGAGTCCCGGGCCGTGTCTCGCAGTAGCTCAGTTCTGGTGTTTCCAAGCTTTTCTCCATCTGCAGATAATGCTAATATCTCACAGTTGCAGCTTTTTCAGGGCCCTGGAAGAATTGGGACACTCTCTCCAAATAACAATGAGAATTTGTTCTGAGCCTTTGCGATAAGAAAGGAGAAAGAAAATCATTCCTAGAGGCAGAAGGAGCAGAAAAATCATCTCAACAGAAGACAGACTTCTCATTACACATTATCAGGCTTTCAAATAAGCACTTTAGAAGCCCATTCTCTGGTTCAGAATAAGTGGTTCTTACATCTTAGATGGCCTCAGCCGAGTCATGTTTTAGGAGGCAGTATCTGGTCTGGGAGGCTGGTGGATGAGAGCTTTTGTCCCAGGGCCCAGCCTGCCAAGCTGCTTCCCTGATGAAGTGGATGGTGATGCTGAATTTTGCCACAGGGTATCTTTTGCAGGAAGTGAGATAGGGGATTCCATTATAAAGAGCCATCCCCACTGATTTAGTCATTGCCCCCACCCAAAATGAGAAGTCCAGGATAGATGCTCTGTACTAAAATCTCTATGGGATGTGATTTTTATACTGAGTTTCTTGGTTTCCTTTGAACAACGCAAATACTTCTTCCATGAGACAGTTTGCAAAGTTAGAATTGCAGGACTCCAAAGATAAACCTCAGGGATCCTCTTCTCCCTTTTTATTAACTAAAAAACAAAACAAACCTCTTAGGAGCAGCATTTAGTACTAAGACAGAAGGAGCAGGAACTGCCTATGTTCTGCACATGCAGAGACTTGGTGAAGAACCAGCACTTACAGAAAGTGCCTGGGAGGAGCTTTGAGGCTGTGCTGTACTGAGTTAGCAGGACCTATGACGAGGTGAAGGGGTGAGTCTGAGTTGGGCAGTCACTGAGCATGGTGGTTAAAGGAACAGGCTCTCATCCTGAGCTCTGCAACCCATTGCCCTGGGCGACCCTGGAAAAGCTCTGGACCTCTGGATGCCTTGCAGGAGAAACGGGCTGCTGTATATGTAAAGCAGACTAGCTGAGGGCCAGGCCTGCAGGGATCTCGGGTTGCTCTGGTGATTATCAGGGGCCCTGTAGCAATGCTTGCCTCAGTATGTAGAAGAGATTTTGATATGTGCACCGAATTTTTAAAGTTTGGGGAAACCACCACTTCATTTCTCATTTGTCTTTTCCACTTGGGCCTGTCCTCTGTCATTTGTTTCCTGTGCTTTCTTTCTCCGCCCTTTCAGGGATGAGCCTCAGTGAGAGGGGCCTGCTCCTGAGAAGAGGAGGAGCCGTGGAGGAGCCTTGAGGCTGCCGCCCAGGCCCTGCTCCTCCCTCTCCCAGGGTCCAGGCTGAGCCTCCCCTAACCGGGGCCAGCCAGCCCCCAGTCCCCTTTCCTTGCTGCATCTCCTTCTGTACTGATAATAAGCCCGTCAAAACCGCGTCCACACTCTTCCCTAAACGTAAACTCAGCTGTCAGCTCCCCTTGCCCCAACTCCCTGCTCTCCAAGCTGAGAACCCTCCACTTTCTCTCCTCTTTCCTCGTCCTCCCGCCTCTCACCTCACCTCACCGCCGACTGGGCCCCAGTCCCCACTCAACTCCTCGGGCACCTTCTGCAGCCTCCCTGGTGGCTGGCCTCGGCAGTCCTGCCCCCCCTCCACTCCTGACCTTTCCTCACTATAGCAGAGGTTGTATCATGCCTTCAGCTGGAACCCTGTGACACTGTCAACTGTCGCCTGTAAAAACGCATCATTCATGTCATTTATCCTGAGAAAGAAAATCACATCCACAGAAAAGGAAGTCGTTTCAGGTGCAGATTTGCGAAGTCTCAGTTTGCAAAGACCCCATAGCCCACCCAGAGGGTCCTCACGGTGAACTTCAACTCCCTCCACTTGCCCCCCTCCGACTGGCAGCTTCCCGCCTCCGGTTCCCCAGTTTCCCCGTCGGTCTTGTCTCCAGACGCAGCCTTCCCAGAGTGGCTCTCACCGAAAGCTTTGTTTGCTGCTTAAATAAGCCGGTCCAGGCCAAGGCAGACCTGGTCGTTGAAGATGACCTAGTACATGCATTGTGAAGAGGCAGAAAGATTACAGCCAGCTGTGTCTGAACAGTGAGGACCTTTGATTTATACATCTTTAAAAAAAATGGTTTTGGTCAACCGAATCATTAAGGACTTACCCTTAATAAACATTCTTTCAAGTTCGAGGCAGGTCTGATTATTTGCTTTGTTCAGTTGTGGTGGTGGTTGCGTGTGCGTGTGTGGGTGTGGTTTGGTGTGCCGGCCCTTTGTGCGAAAACTCCCTCGCAGCCACTTGGCAGATGGGGGCTGGCCTTCGCAGTGCCTCACGCACGGCTCTCCACTCCATGCACGTTGTTACCTGACTCCCATTCCAGCCCTGGGGGGGATCCGGACTCACAGAGGAATAGCACCTTCTTATAAAACCTGGGGTATGATTACAATTTTACTTTTGAAGCACCCGCTTCCCAGAGGAATAGCCAGTGATTGATGCTGCTGTCAGAAGCCCAGATGCACACACTCATGCATCAGCCGGGAAGTTACACAAACAGCTCACCCAGCAGGCCAGGCTGACTCACCCACTCGCTCCCCTCTGGGAAGAGAGCTGACAGGAAACCCAGGGCAACAGCAGGGAACAGACAAGGGAAAGGAGCTGGAGGAGGACGGGCCTCTCAAATGTCCGCCAGGTTCTTTCCTTGCTTGTTTCTGCTGAGGGGAGCCGCACAGGCTAGTCCGTAGTGCCCTGGCTGTGAGACCAGAGTCACGGGGCGTGGTGTCATTGGTCTGGGGAGCGTGCTTCAGCTTGGTTTCATGGTGCACGTACAAGGATACATACAGCTCTACACGCAGACCTTCATCCTTTATAGGTATAGGTGGTGTCCACATTTCCCTTCGGGTTGGATGTGACCTATGTGGGCTGCACTCAGGCTACCTTGGCAGAGCAAGTCTATGTTGATTCCAGCAGGACAGGGCAGCAGAGACTGGTTTGTTGCTAAGATGTCTGAAAAAATGAGGGTGCTACTGGGGCAGAAGAGTGGAAAGTGGTCCAGCAGACTTGTGGGCACTGTGTGATGTGAGGGTGCTTCATCGGTAGCGGCAAGCCAAAGCGTTGACATTCTTGACCACGTAAAATCCCATGGTGACCGGAGGGATGACCAATGTCCGACCGGCCCGCAGGGGGCGGGGTTTCAATTCGGGGAGGGTCCCATCGTCCACCATCACCAAGGGCTGGCCGTTCAGCTGCACTGACCTGTGGGGAGGGAAGACAGCATGGAGCTCGTTAATAGTGCGTTCTGCGCACGGCCATCACTTCCACTGTCTCCCCTAGGGCTTTGTTTTAACAACACATTCAAGCATCTCGGCGATGCTCTGAGGAAGAAACAGTCACTGTTGCCATGCCTCCGCCTGCAGTGGTTGAGTGACTGGCTCAGGATCACACAGCTTGTAGGTCTGGGGCCAGGGTTTGAACCCCACCTCATCCCACGGACACCTCACCTAGACAACTGACAAGTCTTTGTGATGCAGAAGCTGAACAGTACCTCACACTTACATTTTAAAAAACCACAGGAACACTTTAGTTAGACCCATGGAATAAAGCAGAGGCTTAAAATGATTGCACAAATCTCCGATTAAACTTGAAATTCTCATTACTATATTTGACAGCTTAGAGAATTGACATCATTTGCTTGCACAGGATTGTTCTGAAGGACAGAGATATAGCTAACAATTCTCCTTTTTAAATCTAAGAATGAGTATTCATATCTAATATTTAATGAATGTTTCCATTTTTAGCAACACAATGGAGTATAAGGAGATAAAAGGAGGCATTCGAGATCATAATTCCCCCATCTGGCCTGCTCTTATTCTTCCTGCACAGCAGCCGTCTTCATCCCTGAGAAGGGGCCACAGACGTGGTGCTCTGAGAGAGCAGAGGGAACAGACCATCCGTCCCCGACCTGTGGCACAGAATCCAGACAGCTCCCAGCTGTTCCTGGCTGTATGGCCATGCACCCCAGCTGAAGCTCAGTTTTATGGGCCAGTAGAAAAGGCCAGAACCAGGCCACCAGCTGGAAACACGGCTGTGAGCTACCCTCAGAAAATCAGCATTGCATAGTGATGACTGTTTCTGGGACTGGCCCAAGCTTCCAAGTGATAACATTGCGGTGATATCATCTGAGCTGTAAAGAGAATAAAATGTTAGTAATTGATGTAAAGGTCTTTGTTTAGTGTTCCTTCTGTGCTGTGAATGATAGACAGGTTCAGAGAGAGATAATCAAACCCATGCCCAACGGAGCAGTGAATTCCCAGAGATAAGTATGTTGTAAATTGCTCCCAATGGAGAAGGAGGCAGGGAAGCAGGTCCAGGCCAGGCCCCACATGAATCAGTTGGGACCCCGTCCAGATCTGACAGGCCAGCGGGGGCAGCCCCCCTTTCTCGTTGGTATGACTAAGGAATGAACGAGAGAGGACCAGACTCCTGTGTAGAGAGAGCCAGGCCTGCCTCTGGAAGGGGTTGGGGTCGGATAAACAAGATCTGAAGGTAGGTGTTGACCTCATCAAATATGCAGGGAGCTCTTGCTCCAAATTGGACTGATTCTCTCTGGTGAAGACAGGCTACTCATTGGAATGGGGGGCAGGCTGAGGAGACTGCAAAAACCAAACCAAAACTAAAATCCCCCCAAAACCCAGACAGGTCTTCACAGTGTGTTTTCATTATTTTGTTTCAGGTGGTGTGACTATGCAGCAATGAGACCTAGGCCCTGTCAGATACAAGTTCAACAATACTGATTAATCTTTCCAAAGCATACTCAAACGTGTATCGCTCTCTACTTGAAAACCTTCAATGTCCCTGTTACACACAAACTTGGATGCAAGCCCTCACATAGAGGATTTGAGTGTTGCCCCTTTACATTCAGATGATCCCAGGGTGCTGGCATCTTTGACTTCTAGGCAATGCAGAACCAAACGTGTTATTTCTATGCTAATAACGAGCGGTTATTCTGAGACAGGCCCCACTCTGGTTTCCTTACAGGCTTGAGAAAAAGCCAACTCGGAGTGGGTAGAGACAGGTAGTGTGCTCAAGATTCCGGACTGATCTCTAAGTCCAGGAGCCGGACTCCTGACTTGCTGGCTGGCTCTGGCGTGTCTCTCCCCTCACTTCCTGCAGTTTCTGCATCTGTGAGAAGGCTGCATAGGCTGTAGTGTGAATGCAATGAACTAAAACTATGAAAGTGCTTCGAAAGCATAATGAGCCATATGAGTGGGAAATGGTGTTTTTGTTATTCTTTTCTTTGCCATCACGGGTACCCACGCTGTTTGGTCCTTATACTTGCCTGCTCTGTGGCACTGGCACGTTTTCACAGCCCCCTGCCTTCTCTCCCCTTGTCTCCCATGTGCTTGTTCTCGCTCTCTCTCTGTTCACCCTTCCTTTCCTTTTCAGGGGGACTGTGCTCTTCTACCTGCCTCTCAGACGCCGGGGTTTCTGGTCTTTGTTTTTGGACCTCTTCTTTTTCGGCACTACATACTCCTCCTCGTGCTATTTCCCACACCCAGGACTTTGCAATCCACATATCGATGCTTCCTCAACCTGCCTCTGTAGCCTAGATCCTTCTAACTTACACACCTCCACTTGGCTGTCCCACAAGAACTTCCGAGTCACCACATCTGAAGTAAAAATCTACTCGAACCCTTTTCTCTGCCTTGTTATCTTTGTGCTGGTACCACCACCACCTGTCTGACTGCCCAAGCCAGAAAGCTGGGCATCACCTGACATTTCTGTCCCAGTTCCTATATCCAGGGTCCCTAAGTCTAATCGATTCTGCCTTTTAATGTTTTTCAATTCTGTTCCTTACTCTCCATCAACTATTATTTCAGTTCAGTCCCCGCCCCCACACTTGCCACATCGTTGACCTAGTGACCCACTGCTGTCATTGTTTCAAACTCTCCAGGAAGTCCCCATCCCTTCCATTTGCACTTGGACACTGCAGCCCAGCACCAGCTACCTCTCCAGTCCCAGGTCATGCCTGCACCCTTGCTCCAATGATAACTGACTGTGGATCACGGACCTCTGGGGGTGTGGGGGCGCTGCGTTGGCAGTTACTGCAACAATTTCATCAATATGTGCACGAACAAAGACTGTTTCGCAATGAAAAACTAGTAAGTCTTGCACATAGATGAGACAATATTCTTCAAGAGAAAATGTCAGTAGATACTGTTGGGATTAAAATACACAAGTTCATTTAGAAGTATAGTAAATATCTTTCAGATGTGAATGCATGCCAGTAGACGCTGTTGGAATTAGTAAGTAACAAGCTGATTTAAAACTGATGAAATTCCCAACAGGGCTTTCTGTGAGGGTGAGGGCATCCTGAGCTTTTTGTTCAAACACAAGTTTTGAAAGGACAATTACTACAACGTTGACATTACAAAGGAAGACTCCCACTTTCCAAAGGTCCTGCGCCCTTCCTCAGCAGGATCCAAAGCAATGCCTTGCAGTTCAGCTTCTGGGCCGTTGCCCAGGGACTCTCTGTGTCGGATTAACTCCGGGGGTAACTGCAGAGCTTGCACGGGTGTGGCCCCCTCTGGGGAACCTTCTCTGACCCCTGCATTGGGAGTCCCACCTCTGAGCTCTCTGGTACCCCAAATTTACCTGCTACCACCTCACTGGATTGTGATTTACTTGCTCTGTCCCTCACTGGATGGTAAATTTGGGGCTAAAAGGGACCGTCTCTTTTGTCCTTAAATCTTTGGTGCCTAACAAGATGCTTGGCATAGATTAGGGACAAAATATTTTCTGAACAAGGGGATGCATTTCTGAGGCTCTTTTGCATTATTTCTTGTCTTCCTGGGTTGAGTCTCCCACTTCTACAGAGGCTCCCTGGGGGCTCGCTCAGTGTCTGTACAGGTTTCACTCACACAGTGGTTCTCAACCTTTTTCATCTCATGGCACGTAAACTGATTACTAAAATTCAGTGGTGCTCCAAAAAAATATTTTTTGCCAATCTGATAAAAAATATAGGTATAATTTTGATTCATTCACACTGGACAGCTGTTGCTATGTTGGCTGTGATCACTTTTTATTTGACAATCTAAGGTGGGGTGTCAAACTCATTTTCACTAGGAGAGGGGTAGGGGGGGCGGGACATCAGCCTCTCTGTTGCCTTCAAAGGGCCGAATGTAATTTGAGGACTGTATGAACGTAAGTACCCTTAACCGTTAAGCAAGAGCTCGGCGCTGCCGCTGTGTAGAAACAAGGTGCCGGCCGGATAAACAGGGTGCAGGGCCAGATGCCGCCCTCAGGCCTTGCGTTTGCCACCTGCGCTCTAAGGGAAAGAAAGGTCAGTGCCCCTGACTAAGTCGTCAGGTATTGCGTGTGAAAATCGCTGACATCCAATCGCTCTGGCCCTCGGTGGCTCGGAGATGGCAGATAAGCCCTGATTCTCAGTCACTTACTACATAACCTCATTCCAACCTGAAACAAAACCATGGGTCACTGCTGGCGTTTCTCATCCTTGGAAAAGATCCATACGACCATTTCTTACTAAGCCGACAACACGAGTCAGTTTTGTGAGGCCGGGAGTCTAATATGCCCTGACCTAGACGGTCTCTCCATTACCAAGGTGGCCCGTGGGCCTAACCACCTCCATTCTATTTCCCTTTTAGCATTTATCCTGTTATCCAGTGACATCATATCATGCTAAATATATAATGTCATTTTTATGCATTGAACAATTCGCAAACTTGAAAACATAATCATGCTAATGGTAAGAATCACTCACTAGTGAGCACTGTCCATGCAAAAGGCACCACACTATGATTTATTTGGACTATTGCATTTGTTCCTACAAACACCAGGCAGGTCTTTGCTCCCTCTGTGTCAGATGAGAAGCCCCAGTCACACAGCCAGGGAGCGTAGGGCTGAGACTGCACTGCTGCCCCTCCCCATGGCCCTACCTGGCCTTCCTCGTGATTGCTAAGGAGCCCTGTGACCTACGTCGGGCGAGTATTGTTATTATCATTGTAACTTTACTGTGGAGACCAGGTCAGAGAGGTTAAGTGGTCTGGGCCAGGTCATGCAGCTAATAGGCAGCTATTCTCGGTCTCTAATTCAGGCCTCCCAACGTCTCTTTCTACTATTTCATGTTTTTCTTCAGTTCCAGAGGGCACTCGCCAGATCGTGTTTCCTTCTTTGAAGCCCATTCTTATCATATTCTCATCATATTCTGGGGCCTCCTTACTGCCCATGACTTT